CTCCATCTTGTTGGAAAGTCATCGTTTGATTGTCAGCAAGAGCTGGTCTTAAGAAATTTTGAATCATATCACGATATCGGTCGCCATCTACAGATACAGCATTCCCATCGTGGTCTTCGAAGAAGAATGGTCCAATAATTCGTTGAGACGTAACTGCGCACCATACTGTACATTTAAGCGGATGTAATTGCCTTTGATGAACCACCCTTGGGTTCTCGGTACCCCATATTCTGCAGTTCTGCTTATTTACGAAGCCATTCAAATGAAAATGGGCTTCATCGCTCATGATCAGAGAATGAATAAATTCATTATCTTCTCGAGCCATTCTTTGCAAGCGAACTGCATAAGTTAGTCGTTCTTGAAAATCTGCTGGTTTTAGTTCTTGCACTAGCTGCACTTTATATGGAAACAGATGTAAATTTCCTCTTAATATTCTGCGTAAAGACCTTTGAGACATCTGCAGCTCAGCAGAACGTCTTCGGGTTGAGGTTTCCGGATTCTCCTGAACACTCTCCTGAACGCGTTGAATGTTCCCTTCATTTCTTGCGGAACGTGGCCTTCCGCTTCGTGGGAGATCCATAACTGTGCCTTGTTGCTGAAATCGTGCCACTAAGCGTCGAATCATTGATTCAGAGGGCGAATTCCGCAAATTGAAATGACGACGATATGCTCGTTGAGTTTGAATTATTGAATGGTGATATTCAAAATAAAATTCTATAAGTTTGGTTCGTTGATTGAGGTTGTAACGCTCCATAATTAATCTCCAGGATTTATTTTACACGGTCCTGAAAAAAAAAATGAAAACAAAATAAATTTAAAAAAGTTATTAATTTTTCAAATCCCTTCGTGACTTTTGCCCCACCCTGTATATTTGGTTGCAGTTGTTGCAATTGATGGAGTAGACTGTGTTGGTTAAGCCAAGCAGCGGGACTTTGTCTTTCATTTTTGAAAAAATGCAGTTTATAGTGAGGACGGATTTGCAAGCAATTCGAAAGGCGGAAGCTTTAATTTTTCACCTATATATATATATATATATATATATATATATGTATTCTATTGGGCAACAAAAGCTACTATTATCACTTTTATTATTATTATTATTTATTATTATAGTTTTTTTATTATTATTATTTTTTTGAAATCTTGACACAAAGCACCATGTCAAGGTCATCAAGAATTTGTGGGTTTCCAGAATCGATCTATTGGGTACGGGCGGAAAGCAAAAAAATTAAAATCACCCAATGTTTGACGTTCAAAGACTTCTGCTTATTTTCTGAAATATTTTAGAGGTGTTCAGATTTGTAGTTGGTAGCTGTAGGTGTATAATACTGTAAATGTTAAATTTTAACGTATAGTAAAAGACGTTCATACTGAGAAGCTTCCAATTCCCGTATTTTTCATACATTTGCCATTGAGACAGAAACATGAGTTTGTACTGTAACCAGGCAAAGAGCCCTTCAGCTCTATACGCATTTCAGAAAATTGGCATGATCACATGGAGGTTCTCAAGTCATACATCAAAACACATATGTGCTTTCAGCTGTTAGGACTATCCCCACAATTTAGTTTTTGTTATCTAGAGTACAGATATTCGAACCCCGTCGGGAAATATGATCTTGTTAGACCTTGGGTACGAGAATAAGCGTTAACGCATGAAAATGCTTCCGACATTCTAAATTAATATGAACTTTTATTATATTTCATGAAGCGGTTTTTAAAATGGACAACGAATATCGAAACTTTAAAAGGGTTTCGGAAGTCTTAATTTGTTCTCTGCCAGTATGTCTAAATTGTGACGGGTAGCTCATTTGTTCCTATTTCCAGTATCACAATGTGAGAGTTATACGGGCGACTTGATTTATAATTTCTCGCTTTAGTGAGTTTTAGTATTTATATTTTACTTTTCACAATCCTTATTTAGAGATTGCAATAGTCGCCAGAAATCTTCGAGGCACTCAGTTTTTTAGAATGTAATATACTATACTATCATGTTCGGGTCAATAAAATAATTATATTGCTTCCTTTCCTTTAGGATTGTTTAATCAGTTTGAGGGATTGTGAACATTAAGTCTCCCGGTTATAGTATTTATAGTCAACGCCAAACAAAGTGGCGTGCACGTCATCACGATAAAAATTCCCCGACCTAATGCCTAGGTTTCTATCACAAACAATTGCTCTATTGCAGTTTCATATTAATGTGATATATAAATTGTAAAATGGTCATTACTCTCTTATTATGGTTAATAGTCATATAAACATTGTTATTAAAATATCACATAAGTTGCTTTCTGATAAATTTAGACGCATTATGCGAAATAAAATGTTTTGCAAACGCTCCAATCACTTATCGACATGTAAACCCACTAAACCGATTTCGCAGCGTTGACACATTGTCACCTTGAAACTTATTTAAACTGGGAACTGACATTTGTATTAATTTTGACACTGAATCAATTTGTGGCATTTCAAATCTTTATAAATCCTTTGGCCCCGCATACTGTAAATCAACAACTGTTTGTTTCAAAACAAAATTATTCATTTTACGAGTAAATAAAGGCAATTTTGGTATATAAAGATGCCCAAACAGTTAAATAGTCGGTGTAAGGAACTCGTGGCCTCGTTAATGCACTACTTTGAGCAAGAAAGGGACAACAACGGGCCTTTGTTGCCTTTAAATGCTGTTCAAGAGGTAGGTTACTAATAATTATATGTAATGTATATTAATAATAGTGAAATTTTATTTCATTTTTTGTAGCGTGTTGCTGCTGCTTTAAAAATTAGTTTAAGGACAGTTAGTCGTATTTCCGAGGGTGTGAAAAGTGATGCAAATTTAGAATCGCCCAAGAAAAAGCGGAGTTATATTAAACGTGTAACCAACACAGCGACATTGGATACAAGTGCCATTCGAGAAGTGATCTATAATATGTATCACAAAAGTAAGATCTTATTATAATAACTTATCAGAAATTTGCATTAATTTGTTAACTAAATTATAATGTCATATTACACATGGTTTCAGAAGAACAAGTTACGATACAAACTTTATGGTCTCGATTAAGAGATAGGGCATTATTTGATGGTAGTGCCACGTCTTTAAGGCGGTTGCTTAGAGATCTTGGATTTAAGTGGCTTAAGGACAATCCGCGACGAGGGCTCATGGAACTACCAAGTATAGCTTTGAAAAGGGTGGAATTTCTAAGGCAATACAATCAAGCCAAGGTTGAGGCCTTATACCAGTTTGTCTTCCTCGATGAAACTTGGATATTTCAAAATGGGACCATAGGTCGCTCTTGGCAAAATGGAAACCAAAAAGGCGTGAAAGCTATTAAAACAGATGGTAAAAGGTATGTACTTTTACACAATTTGCACTATAAAATTTAAAACTAATATATTTTAGATACATTATATTACATGCTGGAAATGAAAATGGGTTTATTGAGGGTAGTGAAGCGATATTTTCTTCGAAAACAAAATTGAGCGATTACCATGGAGAGATGAACCAGGACAATTTTTTGAAATGGTTTCAACATCAGTTATTAGAAAAATTGGAGAGTCCATCTATGATTATACTGGATAACGCCCCTTATCACAGCATGATATTGAACAAAGTGCCCAACAATGCATGGACAAAAAAAAATATCCAAGACTGGTTGACAAATCAAAACATACCATTTTTAAACACAATGTTTAAAACAGAGCTATTGAGTATTGTTGCTGGGTACATAATGCTTCTTAATTATATATATTTTGGTCGACAGTTTATATTTCTTTTGTTTATTCCTATTCTTAAAATAACTGCTTTTTTAGAAACAAACCACCTAAAATATACGTGATTGATGAATTGGCGGAACAACATGGGCACAAAGTTCTTCGTCTGCCTCCTTACCATTGTATATTTAACCCTATTGAGTTAATTTGGGGCATAGCAAAAGGTTACTATAACAGACATATTGGTAGAGATGGTAACAGTGAAAAAGACTGTTTGGATATGTGGAACGAGCCTCTACAAACGGTTACCCCAGACATGTGGAAAAATAGTGTTCGACATACTGAGCAAGACATTTTTAAATGGTATGAAAGAGAACGAATTTTTGATCGACCAGACATCGAACCTTTAATAATCAACTTTGAGAGTGATGAAGATTCAGATTCAGACAGCGCTGAAGAAAGAAACTCCGACTAACTTTATTGTACAGAAAAAGCTTACACCAGTAGCTTACCTAATTTTAGAATGCATTTTTCTGTATGAATTCTGTAAAATAAATACCATGCATAAAATTTGGAGGACCCCATTTGGATTTTTATTCAGTACCTTTAAGCTATCAATTAAATATGGTAGTTTCATAGTGTCATCTGATCAATAATTGTCATACTTAATGATTATGCAAGTACAGATCTATAATTTTATTATACTATTATTTTTGTTCTCATTTGAGGTTAATATTGCTTATAAACCTAGATATGTAAACAATAAATTTTATTATTTTACAAAAAGTTTGGCAACAATGTAAATTTTTCAACACACCCACCTTGATGACGTGCACGCCACTTTGTTTGGCGTTGACTATACAAATATGGTGAATGTGTACCACACGAAGTCAATCTGCGATTTTAGTTGAGTCCTTTAAGCAGATACGACCCATTCTGCTGTGCCCTATTTCGACTGCAAACTTTATACAGGGTGGCCATTATATAACTGACTGATACACGTATTTCAGTAGGTGGCGCCATAGCACATACATATGTCCAATTCATCATGGAGCGCTACAACCCGTCCGTATTGTTAAAACGTTTCACTTAAATAATGAGTCGATTGTTGCAACGAATCGGAAGTTACAAGATTTCGGTCGAAATGTGCCCACTGTCAACACCATTCGTCAGTTGGATGGAAATTTGAACACTCCAGGTGAAGTTAAAGACTTGCCAAGGTCGGGCCGTGTACGAACTGTTCGTACTCCGGAAAATATCGAGAGAGTTCGTGAAAGTGTAGTGGATCGCCCCGAGACGTCTACCAGACATCGTTCTCAAGAACTGGGTATTCGTCGCACGTCGATATGAACGGATTTGTTAATAAAGATAATTGTCATATCTGGGTATCGAGAACCTTCGAGTCATCCATCAACGACCACCACATCCTCGTCGAGTCACAGTCTGGTGCGGTGGTATGGAGGTGTCATTGGGCACTTACTTCTTCGAAGACGCTGCAGGTAATTCTCTAACTGTCGCTGGCAAGCGCCACCGTGATATGGTGCAAAACTTTCTGACTCCTTAAATCCAACAATTTAACCTGCACAGCATCTGGTTCCAGCAAGACGGAGCAACTTGTCACATAGCTAGGGAAACAATGAATCTTTTGTGAACAATATTTCCGGGACGTTTAATTTCTCAATTTGGCGATGTCAACTGGTCACCAAGGTCACTGGATTTAACGGCCACTGACTCTTATATGTAGATTTTTTAAATAATAGGGTTTATACCAACAAACCAAATACTGTAGAGCAGCTGAAGAACAATATTACGGAAGCGATTGAAAATATTCCTCCCGAAACCTACAGAAAAGTGATGGATGGGTCTGTTATTATTTTTTATACATAATTTCCAAGTTTCAGAGATTAGGGTAAAAAAAATTGACGTTTTTTATTTTATTTCACAAAGATTCAAGGTACAAACCAGTCAGTTACATATCGGCCACCCTGCATGAACAAAAATGAAAGATCATTATATTATATATCCAGTCACGCGCAATTGGTGTGGTCGATATGTTTTAAATAATTATAGCCCTAGGTTTGAAAACAAACCTAATACAATCTGATTGCTTGGGAAGTACAGGGTAGTCAATCTAGTTGCGATCATTTTTATTTATTGATTATTATTAACTGTTTGTTATAATAGAGCTCCATGATTTTTATAATTCCCGATTCCAAGTCTTCTGCTTTTTATATACCGTAGGAATATATTATGTATTTCCTTGCTTGTTGTGTAACTCAGAAGCTTTTAACACGGCTGTCAAGAGCATCCCAGATAAAACATGAAGCTTTTATTAGACTCCGATACTAAACTATAAGGTATGATTTCTTTTTATGAAATAAAAATTACTCTAAAACGGAAAGGGTTCCTGGACTGTTCTAACTGACTTTTAAAGAGCCACTTTGTTTTGGAGGTACAGGCGACATGCCTTTTGGTAATAGCAGCATTTTATATTAAGAAAAATTACATAAAAAAACTTGTCGATTCGTATACTGTAATTACTTTTAAATTAATAATTGTAGGTTGATGATATGCGTACGGTTCAGTATAACTTTATTTTGGGTATACAATTATTTTGAAAATTAGCCTTGTAGCTGAGCTTCTATGTCACGCTTAAGCGACCCTTTGGAAGTAATTAAAGGATAAACTATCTTTAAATATTTTAAGCATTGACTCCTTTACGTGTTTTTAAAAAACTACATAAATAAATTAAGGTGTTTCTTTTAATTGGTTTCAGATATTTGGCCATGAAGGGTTGGTTCGACGCCTTCAGAACTGATGGTGGTCCCACTCTGTACAATTTCAACAACCGAACTGCAGTCACTGGTGACGTCACAATCATCACTTTCTTGACGATCTTCACTACTCTCTACGTGGCATTTCTAATTATTTTCCCAGGTATCAGAAAAGAAGTAAGTAAATTATTTTACATAGTTTCACTTTGATTTTTTAATCGGCAATCTGGGAACGCCAGGCAATGGCTTTGTTGTTCTCAGGTATTCTTCAAACATTCATTAACAAAATCCAAAAGCATTTCACGACGTATTGTTATTGTAAACCTTTATAACCTTTTAAATGCAAAATGTGCGGCAACCTTTTGACCAAAATCCTTATTATTGCGTGGAGAGTCTTGGTGGCCATTTTCAACATTTACTTGCCTAACGGGTCAGTTCATTATTAATTTTTAAATTACTTTGCTGCCAAATATATTGATCTCCACTAATCATGATGTATTAGTTTTATTTAAGCTTTAAATCAATAAATCTTCAAAACTACTGAACTGGAGTACACTAATTTTATATGGTTATAAAGGGAATTGAAAGACCTTTAAAATAAGATATCACTCGACCCCCTTAACATTTAAGATTTTGTTGGTGGTGTCACCCCCGCTTAGGGGGCTGCACGTGCTAACGTGATTTTTCGCCAAACTTTTGTCCCCCTCGAAAACAAAATCGACGGGTCTGAACGTTTTTCAAAAAAAAAACTGAGCTGCCAGTAAATGCGCCTGTTTCATTTTCGATGCGCCACCCTGTATTTTAACTGTTAATCGAGCACGCGCTCAATGGTTCTTCGCCTCTACATGTTGCGTCCCTCTCACACTCAGGCAGAACATTCACTGAGCTCAAGCTTGATTAACAATGAAAAATAAAGGTTTACAACAACAATACCTCCTCAGATGCTTTCAGATTTTGTTAACGGATGTTTAGAGACTATTTAGGATCATTGACAAAATAAAAATTTTTGCTTTTTCATATTGTTTTTCGGGGTCAAATATGGCATATTTTGCACTTTCCAAATACTGTATTGCTTGTATGTCGAAAAACTATAAATTTTAAAGCAAAGTTGAGAAGCACCTTTTTTGTTTAAAAAAACCCTAAAATATCTAAAAGCACTTTGACCTGAACGAAAAAAAATTGATGTTTTGAATTCGTTTGACGAAAATTTGGACCTGGCAACATGCAAATTTGAATGAGATCGTGCAAAAAATGCGAATCAGAATGCGAAGATATTGCCTAGACCAAGTGCATTTTAACATGTTTGGAGTCATTGGTACTTGACAAAATAAACCGGGCGTACATTCATTTATAAAACCTCGTCTCTGTGTTGTACCCTTTAAAGCCTTGAAGCTACGCTTCTGCCGAGTGTGCATCAGGCCTAAAGGTACCTTGTGACCGTAGGTGTCCAGACTTGGTCAGCTCGGGTTACTCAAGTGCACCGTTGCATGCACAAGTAATAAAATGCACATAAATCCACCGAAGAATGGAAATAAAAATAGGAATGACCGATGCATAATGGTATTATGCTAATGCTAACTCCATTTTCAGAGGACCTTGACTCAAATGTTGAAGTACACAGTACGCGAGGCTAACTTTAATTGTTTACATATTTTAATTGTTAAATAACCCGGTATCACGCACACCATTGAGAACCATCATTTATTTTATATTTACTTGAGAAAAAGAGGTTTCATAATGTTTCTTGTCTGCATTGTTGTTTTTTTGGAGGATTCCGAGGCTGTCTTTATAAAATTGTTAATTAAGGAACGCCAGTCAGGCAAACGATTAAGATGTAATTGCTCCATTAACTTTTTTCATAGGATATCGTCAAGCTGACCATGACTGTTTACTGTTCATTCATTGAATCGTCGGGTATAGGTTGACGCTTTCACAAATGCAAACAGAATACCAATTAAAAATCAAAAAATAAGACTGTTACTTTAACGTCACTTCAAGATGAAATATCTCTCATTAGTTTGAAGATAAACATGATAACTTAATCTCGCAGCTTCTGAGGAACCTTACAAAATTATCGCAATGTAAAATAAAGGACATGTACTTTGGGATTTCGTTCTTAAATAAAAGCAAGATGTTTGAAAAAATATTATGCTTGTTTATTTCATTAGAATATAGAGGTTTGGGTGGCATGTCTTATAGATAATAGTCACAGTTGTGGCTCAATTTTATGAAAAAGTGTCCCTCAACGAATGACATGTGCCCCTATCTTGCCGAAAGAGTATCCTTGTTGAGGATACTATTTGGCTCTTCTTATATTCTTATATCTGATTTGCCGTAGATTTGATTTACCCCTGGCTCGTTGTTATAGGTTAAAAAACTAATACGAGTAGTTGCTAATTTAGTTAAATCATTAAATCTTAATATCCTATCTGTAGTGTTGTGCTTTTAAAATCTGTAAGTCCTATCTTGGTCTAAATGGATATAATGGTCATGCACAGGGTATCCTCCATTGGTTACTACTTTCACTGATATAACTACTACTACTACTAAACACTACAAGTAAAACAGTCGCCACTTCATCTACATATATGACATGTTCACCCAAACTGATACACTTATATCTCCAATTATAATTAAGAAACCAATTGTGTTACGCCATCGTCATTTCGCCGATGCCCAACTATGATCTTGATAATGGCCTCGACGAGGAGCAACACATCGTAAGATCTGTCAGGAGATATTTTAGGGCGTCAGTGACAGTCGCGCCATCGTTGGTGATGTTTCTTCATCAGAAGATTCTTCTTCAGAAGCTTCTTCAACCGAAGATCTGCTTAGCACATCAACGGAATCTCCCGAAATCCTGCATTGCACACCATCAGAGATTCAAGGTCATATTAAAGACGTTAAAGTGCGCAAAGCACCTGGGGAGGATCAAATCACTAATAAGGCGCTGAAGCTGCTTTCGCGGAAGTCCTTAACTTATCTGGTGTCAATAGTCAATGCCTTGCTAAGGACCCAGTACTTTCCATCCATGTGGAAGACCGCTCAAGTTATAATGATTCCAAAGAAGGTGGGTTCGATTTTTCCCCAGGGTTATCATTCCATTAGCCTGCTGTCAGCTCCGTCTAAGCTCGCTGAAAAGGTGATTCTACGTCACCTTGAGAATTTCTCCTGATCCCAGAGTGACCGTTGTCTGCACCACTCAAGGCGATTACGTCGGTGTTCTCGAGTTAAAGGGAGGACCCAGTGTGGCCGGTATGAAAACAAGCCAAAACTTCTCATTCGTCGGTAAACACTTCGCATGCCAATAGGTCTTCCGTGTTCTGCAAACCATTCATTTGCAATGGACCTGGTAGTGGACAAACGGTCCCTTAAGGCCAATAACACTGGACAACAAATTTTAGTTTTTTAATTGTATCTTGTGGAAAAAGTGCACTTCTTTGTTAATTTTGGGGCGCTGAATCCAAAAATGACAATGAAATAAAAAAATTAGCTGCGGTTTAGAAAAAAACTTGTTATTTTTAAGGATATATTAAAAAAAGTAACAAGATTCATATACTTATAAGAATCACTATATGCGCTGTCCTTTTGCTGTTTTTTTATGGATCGTTTCTGGAGCATCTCTACCAAGAGTCCAACAGTAGTCTGCAAGCATGGAAGGATTCCACTTTCCCTGGTACCTTTTTTCCATTGTTGAAATATCCTGATGAAAACGTTCGCCGTGCTCATCACTTACGGCTCCGCAATTGTCAGGAAAGAGATCCAGGTGTGAGTGTAGGAAATGTATCTTAAGAGACATATTACAGCCCATCTTTTGATACGATGGCAGCATATTTTTGACAAGGGTTTTATAGTTGTCAGCTTTTCTATTTCCCAAGAAATTAGCAGTTTTTTCAATACCTATTAAAGTGTTTTCAAACTGTGTATCTTTCAAAATATTTCGAATCTGTGGCCCAACAGAAATACCTTCTTTAACCTTTGCCTCACTTAGTCTTGGAAATTTCTGACGCAGGTATTGAAAAGCTGACCCATCTCTATCTAATGCCTTGACAAACTTTTTCATTAGGCCCAACTTGATATGCAGTGGTGGTAATAAATTTTTTTTCGAATCTACTAATAGCATATGCTGTACATTTTTTTGACCTGGCTCTAGGAATTGACGAACAGGCCAGTTTTGTCTGGTGTAATGAAGTGCCTTTGCCCGACTGTCCCATTCACACAAAAAACAGCAAAACTTTGTGTAGCCTAGCTGCAGCCCAAGAAAAAGTGCAACAACTTTCCAATCGCCACAAATATGCCATTGGTGCTCATCGTATTTTATGCATGTCAATAGGTACTTCATATTGTCATATGATTCTTTCATGTGAACTGCATACCCTACAGGAAGAGATGGTAAAATATTTCCAATATGCAATAACACTGCCTTTAAACTCAATGTTGAACTGTCTATAAACAATGTCCATTCTTCTGGGTTATAGTTTATATTTAAAGCCGCCAGTAAGCCGTTAATGTTACTGCAGAAAACCAAGTTATTCTCCATATTGAAAAATGGTTCTAAGTCTTTGTGGCGTTTACGAAAAACACATACCGAAACATCGTCTTCTAACAAGTCCCACTGCTGCAGTCTTGATCCAAGTAACTCTGCCTTACATTTTGGAAGTTCTAAATCTCTTACAAGATCATTTAATTCTGACTGTGTTATTTTGTGCGGTTGGTGGCATGACGTTCTCGGTATAAAATCAAGATCTCTTGACGTTGATGGCATATCTTCTTCCTGACGAATCACTCGATCGCCATGATCTGATTCGTTTTCTGATTCGCAAGTGTAGGATTCTGGGGGTTTTGGAATAGGATTTTCGTCACTGTGAGGCACAGGTCTCATCGCAGATGGTATGTTTGGGTAGTTAGTAACCGATTTTTTTTTCTTGGACATACCTGTGGCTTGTCCAACACAAGGTACCATGCAAAAGTAACAATCATTAATATGATTTGTAGGCTCTCTCCAAACCATTGGGACAGCAAAGCGCACAGACCGTTTTTTGCCATTTAACCAGCTCCTCAGACTTGAAGCACATGTATTACAGCAGATGTGGGGTGCCCACTGTTTGTCTTGATCACCTAGTTTACAACCGAAATAAAGCTGATATGCCTTTGTTATTAGTAGAGTAATAGACCGTCTCTGAAACGCAAAAGGATTGTTTACACACTTTCGAGACATCTTGCATGAACGCTGTCAGCCAACTGAGGAAAAAATGGCTAATATAAAACAATATAATGTACACGTATGTATAACGTAACACAATCATGCCGATTACATCATCTTTCCTTGCCGAATATAAAAATGTAGCACGTGCATTCTTGTGAATTACAGTATGTTAACACTGTCACAGCAGGAACACATATAATTACCGTATCTCTAAAACTTGAACTAATATTGAAAAGAAAAGTTTCATTCCGGTTTTAGCTCATTAAAAATAGTAATATTTTGTTGATTTTATTTAGGATATTTTTTGGCTGTTGATCAGTGTAATCTTAGGCGGCGATCTTCACGGTCTGTTGTTCTACGGCGGCGTCCAGTGCCCCTTGCTCTTTGCGTACGGCCTTCTCGAAGCCATGCCTGACAACACCTAACCACAGTGTCTACACTTCTTTGCACTCTAACTGCAATTGCCCGAAAAGAAAGTCCAGCTTCCCGAAGTCCCAATATACGGCCCCTATCAAACTCACTAAGTTGACGAAATCGTACAGGTCTCCGTACTCTAGGCATCGTAACCGATCGTAAAGGATGTCAAGAACCAAAATCCGCCAACGTTGATTCTTTACTGCGGCTGAAATATTCATTTTTAGAGCGTTAGTGAATTAAAAAAAAGCAGTATAAAAACCGGAATGTCCAACTGATAAGGCTGAAAATTTTTTCACTTGTTATTTACAGTAAGATAAATACATTCACCAACTTTTATTAAAATAAAACCATTTAAACTGGGTGTTCGGATTTATATGTCACTTAGTATATTTTGATAATTTTTTACACGCGAACAAGGGCCACCCTCATTTATTTGACCTCTATGAAATCTTATGGACAATGGGTATGTATTTTGGAGACAAATAAACCTTACCATCGATATTTCTTTTTTCAGAGATTCACGACCTTCTCCACAGTATCGCTGAGCATCTTTACGGGAGCGACAATACTGAGTGAGTATGAAATGCCTGAACATACGATTCACATAACAATACCGATTGCGTATATTTCAGTTGCCATATATGGATCCTCTTGGCATGTCGCCAATATGTCGGTGGTCAGTACATACAGGGCATTCTCCAAGGAAAAATTGCCTGTCAACATTGGCGTTTACATTGGTCTCAACCATGTGAATATCACCTTGCAAGGTAAAGTATGTGTTTTAAGCCAGAATACTGTTGATAAGATAAAAAGGATTATACCAATTAAATATTAATTTGTAGGGAATTAAAATACCGGCTTAGACTCGGGTAAAAATGGTTATATATCACATACGTCTGTTGCGTTTGTCAGTCGAGATATGTCAAAAATCACTAAATTATGCTTTACCAGGTGATGGCTGGCTTATAAAATCTTTTAATAGCCATAGCCGCAATCATAGACATGAGGATAGAAGTTGAAATGCGTTACGTCCTATGACCGCGTTTGTACAAATTGTCACAAGCATAATCACAGTTGAAGTTCGTAGCTCTTAACTCCTATGATTAAGCTCCATGCTGACATTCGTCGGAAAATTTCTGAAAAGAGGGCTGCGATTAAGCAAACAAAAAGGTCTCGTCATGCTGATGACTTTCTGGCGGGGATGCTTGAATCGAGGAGGAACGACAAATTGTAAGATCTGTCAGGAAATATTTCAGAGCGAATGGCGATATCAACATCAGTGCTAACATCGGTGACTCCTTTTCAGAAGATACTTCTACTACTTCTACGGAAGACTCTTCAGATGAATCTTAGCATAGCACATCAACAGAATCCTCTGATATTCCGTTTTGTACACTAGCAGAGCTCCAAGGCCACATTAAGGACCTAAAGGTCCGTAAAGCACCTGGATAGGATCAAATCACCAACAAAGCACTGAAGTTGCTTTCGCTCAAGGCTTTGACTTATCTGGTGGCAATAATCAATGCAATGCTCAGAAGTCATTACTTTCCTAAGGCATGGAAGATCGCTGAAGTCATCATGATCTCCAAGAAGGCAGGCTCGATATTACCCCAGGATTACCGTCCCATTAGTTTGCTGTCAGCTCCTTCTAAGCTCGCTAAAAAGGTGATTTATCCTCACCTTGAGAATTTCTCGTCAGATCACCACGTGATTCCTGACGTGCAATTCGGCTTTCGGTCTGAGCATAGTACGGAGCTACAGGCAGTTTGACTGGTCGAGTATGTAACCAGGCGGTTCACCCTGAACAAAAGTACTGGTATCTTGCTTTTAAATGTACCAAAGGCATTTGACAAGGTGTGGCAAATGGGCCTCTTGTATAAGCTCATCCAAAAGGATTTTCCATTTTGGCTATTAAAACTGTTGGAATCTTTTCTAGAAGGGAGGAAGTTTCGGATCAAAATTAACAATGTGCTGTCAACAACACGGCCCGGCCCGTAAGAGCCGGTGTTCCTCAGGGTTCGGTCTTAGGGCCAATCGTTTATTCACTTTATATACATCACGTCCCTTGCCCCAGCAACTGTGAAGTCTATCTCTATGCTGACGACACTGCACGGCTAGCCCAGTCTTGTTATGCTAACTTGGTTCACGACAGGCTGCAGAGTGCGGTTGATGAAATCTAGGAGTGGGCGGATCGGTGGTTGATCAAAATTAATACTTCGAAAACGCAGTCAATCTATTGTACTAAAAAACGTCGCGGTGCCCCTCAGAGATATCAGTGAATGGAACTCGTATACCATACGAGCAATCTGTCAGGTATCTTGGAGTCATCATTGACAAAGGGTTGACCTGGCAGAAACATACTGATATTTTGAAAACAAAATTACAAATTCCCTTTCGGCAGCTTTATCCTTTGTTGTGCAAAAATTCAAAATTAAGTTTGATCAACAAGATTCGGTTGTATAAAATGGTCAAGACCCGCAATCACCTACGCTTGCGCGGCTTGGTGTTTTCTTGCCAATATACACATTCAGAGACTGCAAGTCCTGCAAAACAGAACCCTACCCACAATCACTAACGCCCCTTGGTACATGTCAAATGAGATCTTGATATCCCGTATCTAAGGGATTATGTAAAATAACAGGCACAGCGGCGTTATAATCTAACCGAATCGCACAGCAAACCCTCTGTGTATTGATTCAGTAGACTACCTAGTCAAGCAAGTTCGCAAACATTCCAGGCCGCGCCTCGCACTGTGATCAAAATTAAATTGTAAATTCAGACCAGCCAAAATTATTTCAGAATACAAAACCGATCAAAATTATTTTTTGGAGCTACAAAATCATTCGAGTAGTCAAAGCAATAACGCTTGAGCTATCTCAAACGATTTACCTTTTTTCTTTGCTCTATTTCTTCCTCCCTTTCTTTCCTTCTTTCCCTTTTCCCCTTAAGCGTGTTTGGTATCTGGGTAGCCAGACCTGACAGACTAACAGACCGACGAGACTTTTAACTAAGAGCAATGGTCCACCGGACCGCTCTGACGAATAATGACGAATAGTAACTAATGGTGGTCTGTCATGAAATTTTGTGCCAAATTTAGCACTCTAAATTTCGTACATAATTAAGGGTAGTTTCAGACAGCATTTAGTACGTAATTTTGATAAATTGGTTAAATTGGTTAAATCCCTAAAATTTATTTTCTGAATGCTCCATTATCTGTCAAAATAAAAACAGACAACTGCTTATGACTATGTTTGAGAGAGTTATATACACACGCTTCAAACTTATAACACAACTGTGATTATGCTTATGTTTATGTCTAAAAGGTTTTTTCTCGAAAATGGTTGATATGGAACATTCTACTCAAGAGACTATTGATCAGAGTGGAATCATTAAGTTTTATCTTTATTTTTCATCATCGGTATTCAACTTGAGCCTGCTAAAGATTTGCGAAAGGACGTTTTTCTATACTTATTTGGTGTCGCCTCATTTTCAGCTGTGAATCACAGTCATGCGTCTGACATAGACTACAACGAACGTTTCTGGTGGGTGTCTATCCACGAAATGGGCATCAGCTTTAAGGAGTCCTTAGAAAAAGGATTGCCTCATCCTATCCTAAAGGTAGCTGAGTATTTCACCACAGGTCAAGAAGGTCTAGCTTGGGGAGCTCAATACAGAGCTGCTGGATATTTCGCCACAATCATGCTATGGTAAGTATAATTCCAAAACTACAGTTTTCTTTCTTACAACCGAGTATAGAGCATTTTCATTCTTATGGCATTCTTAAAGCCAAGCAACTAGTCTCTATCGGTGATAATGATATTATAAAGTATATATAAGTATATAATTTGCAAAAGTAATCGTAACTATTAGAACGAATTTGAATTTGTTTTCAAGGACCTCCTTTACGATATGGATCCTGATGAACCTGATGTTAATTGTGGTGCCCCGTTACGGAGCAGTTCTGATGACCACATGTGGCCTCCTTCTAATAGCCACCTGTTGCGGCTATTTCGTAATGTTACCTGAAACGCCTCTAGTCATTCGCATGGAGGGGAGCAAGTTGGAGTTCCGGTTTGGGTGGACCTACTGGCTGGTCCTTTTTGCAGGTAGGTTTCATTTATGTTAAGGGTCGTGAAATCACTAACCTCCACTGTAGTACAATCACATGATCAAACGAACTTACCTGTAAAAGATGTTCGACCTTAATTATGTGAAGTCCTCGTCGAAGTAAATGTTTCGAATACATATAATAATAATAATAATAATGTATTTATTAATCCCTCCACACTGCGAGGCGAAGTTTAGCCAGCTGGCTACTCTACCACTTAACCTCACAGCGCAGGAACACATACAAAAGGAAAAACATAACAATGAATAGAAATCGACTAAATAATATATACAATAATTAAGCTTAAATAGATTAATCTTAATAATAAACAAAAAAAAACAATAAAGACAAAAATAAATATATCAGCCAGCTTGGCTAGCAGACCCCAGAAGGTGGTTCTTAATGGCTCTCTTGAATGCAAGTATTCCCATATTTTTGTAATTGTCATTAAGACTATTATACACCTTGACAGCGTTGTAGGTGAAGCTACGATGGAAAATGTTGCTCCTATAACTAGGTATATGGAAGTCAGAGTTATGTCTCAGATTCCTGTAATTGAGATCCCCACGTGGTACCAGTCTTTTTAGTAGATAAGTAGGTAGCCTATTGATTTTTATTCGTTGTACTAAAATTAGTAAGTTATATGTGAAAAGCTGGTCAACCCTCAACCATCTAAGCTCATTGATCTTCTTAGATACATGACTAAACTTTCGCAGACCAGAACCGAACCTACAGCAGCTATTTTGAATTTTTTGTACTCGATATCTAGTCACGTAATCAAGACAAGCAAAGTAAACAGCAATTGAATAATTTATTAACGATAGAACCAGAGTCTCAGCCAGTTTTTTGCGAGTCTTGAAATTCAGAATATGGCGATTGGTGTATAATAACTTCAAACGCATGTATGTTAAGCGAGATAAATGCGTAACATGTTGTTTAAACCTCAAATCTGAATCCATGGTGATCCCTAAATACTTCGCATGGTCTACTATAGGAATATGGGTTTCGTTAAGACTAGGAACAATTGTGCCATCTAACTGTTGTACTAACTGTTTTGGGCCAAATAGTATAGTAGAACATTTTGAAGTATTGATCTTTAGACAATGTCTTTTGCAGTACTCTTCAATGTTAACTAGATCCAAGTTCAATTTATATGATGCTTCATGCATGTCCAAAGAATCAAAAGACAGAGTTAGCTGCGTGTCATCTGCATACGTTTGAATATTACAGTGCTGAAGGCAAGTATGTAGATCAAAGGTATAAACTAAATAGAGTAATGGTCCCAACACAGAGCCTTGAGGTACGCCAGATGCTACACTCTTTGCCGAAGAAAATCCCTTACGTGTTTTCACCTTCTGGGTACGATTGCGCAAATACGAATCGAAGAAACGTAGTGGCTTGTCAGAGAGACCATAAAATTTGAGCTTACTCAAGAGAATACCATGATGTACCATATCAAAGGCCTTAGAGAAGTCTAGCAGAATCAGAGCTGTTCCTATCTGATCATCTACATTTTTGATGGTATCATCCGTAATATTTAATAAAGCGGTTGTTGTGCTATGCCCTGTACGGAAACCAGACTGATATTGAGGAATCATATTGTTTTGTTCAAAATAGTGGGCCAGCTGTATGTAGACAATTTTCTCTAAAACCTTCGACAAAAAGCACAACATGCTGATGAGCCGTAGGTGAGAATACTCAGAGGGGCTGTTTATCTTCGCCAAAGGCAAAACGATAGCTTCCTTCCAGCAGTTTGGGAAAATCGCTGTCTCTAAGGACACATTTATAATATGAGTAATGTGATTCAAAATTTCTGGTAAGCAGAGATGTATCGTTTTACGAGTAAGTCCATCACAACCCGATGTTTCTGTCTTGATAGAAGTTAAAACATCCAGCACTTCATGCTGGTCAACGTAGCGAAAAGTAAATGAAGGAACATTAGTGCAGAAGGAGCTATTATCATATTTATGAATTGTAGACTCAATTAGCCTCGAGTTCATATTGGCAGCCTGTGAGTTCAATAAAAAGTAATCATTCAGCGAGTCTGGTTCGAGTAGGTCATCTGGAATTTCAGTTTTTTTCCGTCGACAGATACTCATATCTTCAAGGGTTTTCCAAGCTTGCTGCGTATTCAAGTTATCAATATGTGATAGGTAAGCCTTTTTTTCCCTCCTTATTGACGCTAAAGCATAATTTCTTAGTTCCTTGTAGTAAATCCAGTTTTCTTGATTGGGAGTACGTCTGAAAGTTATTAAGGCAGTATCCCTCTGTTTAAGTATAAGTTTTGCTGTAGCTGTTAACCAGGGTGCGGCTCTTTTATTGACGTGAGCCACTCTGACAGGCGCATAGGCATCAAATAAAATAGTGAGCGATTCCTATAAAAGACATACTTTTTGTTCTATATCTTTGACATAAAATAAAAAATTCTATCCAAATTCATTCGAGTTAAATCAGTCTTAAAGCTGACTATGTCAATGTTTTTAAGATCTCTATAGGTGATAAATCGTGATAGGGGTTTCTTAATTACAACATGGAATTCGCAAAAAACCAACTTATGGTCAGAAATAATATCTGCATTAACTACACCAGCTTTTGAAACAGTGTCTGAGTTATTGACGAAAATTGGATCAATGAGAGTCGATCTCAATTGGGTTACCCTGGTAGGCTCGTCAATGACCTGCGCAAAGCTGTAACAATCAAAACATGCACTAAGTGGGTTACTTGGGTTGAGCAGATCAACATTCATATCACCTAATACTATGATATTGTCGTGCTGAGGGCTGAAAAATGATAGGAGCTTATCCAAAATGGTAATGCTATCGTTTATAGAGCAATTAGGAGGGCGATAAATGAGCATTATCAGATATCCGCTACTAGATATAGTGAATTGACAACAAAGTATTTCCAACGCACCCGAGTCGATAGGGTTCGTATCTACTAAAGTACAATTGAGATATGACCTAGCATACAAAGCAACACCTCCACCCCTAGCTCCACGATCTTTCCGGAATAAACTGTAGCCATTCATTGATACTGCACCATCATCAATGCAATCGTTTAACCATGATTCACTAATTGCAATAATGTCATATTTATCACGCGTTATTGCAAAAAAATCATCCAAAGAAGGCAGCAAGGAGCGAACGTTTAAATGACATACATTCATTAATCCCTTATTACTATTAGTCATATTGAATCATATTTTTGAGATTATTTACATGGCTTATGTCTATAGGACAATTTCTGAAATTGGTGGGATGGTCTGTGGGTAATTTATTTTTATTACGCTTATTATAGTTCAGACAATTTATGCACTGAAGCGTGTTTGATACACAATCTTTAATGTTATGACTTCCCGTACACTTAGAACACACTAAATCAGATTTGCAATTACTACTAATATGGCCAAATGCGCAGCACTTGAAACACTTCATAACACGTACGTGATCACAGACTTCTGACTTCTTCCACCCAATGAACAAGTACCCCTCCTGAAGAAGCGATTTACGAAGGGCTGGTGTCACCTCAACGACGACATTAACGCTGTTGAAATGCTTCAGCTTGGTTACGTATTTAATATCGTGTTTAGGAATATTTAGAGAACTATTCAAGGAAACGATTCTATCCAAGATATCCTCAGGGGTGTTGATTCCATTAAGGTTTACGTTCTTAATTAACATCCGTGGATTGAGCTTTTTAGCTTCAGAAAAAGAATATTTGGAACCCAATTTACCACTCAAACCAGTTTTGAGGGCAGCTAGGGATTCATCGTCTTTGCAATGAACAGCAACTCCATTTTTGATCAGTTTTGTACCATTTACACAAACATTCAGGTCACCAGGTTTGACAGAAGAAGTGACTTCTTGCAGAATATCTTTGGAATCAACAAACCTGCTCGCCTCCTGCTTTCACCAAAAGCACAGAAGAGTCCAGTTTAGGCTTGGGTGAATTTTTCACAACATCACTGAAAGTACTAGGACGAGGCAAATCAGCAGACTCAAATGTCCCCATCTTGCTTCCATGAGATTTCAGCACCTCTTTTTGTAGCCCATTACTGTACTCCAACTCAGATACTAGCTTTTTAGTTAAATTCAGTTCTCTAGAAAGACACTCAATTTCTTTTCCCAGCAAGGTAGTTTCGGCCTTCGAGGTCATCTTGTTTTTATTAATGGAGCAAAGACAATCATCGCAGAGCCAAAGAAGATTTTCGCATTCAGCAATTATTTTCAGCCAACTATCCTTGACAACAACGCAGGACGTGTGGTATTTGGTGAAACAAATACTGCAGCTGATGGCCTTCGCGTTGACTATAAAGTTGTCATCACATACCTTGCAGATCTCGATACCAGGTGCCATGACACCAAATTCATGGACCTAATTTCACTGATCTAAAAAACACATACCATATCTTTCGAGCAAATAGTTTTTGTTACTGCTTTCCAGTGATGTACGAAAATAACACTTATTGCTGATCAGTATAAGGAAATGTGCAATAACTCAAATATTTGACGTGCAATAGTGGAGATCTTACATTCGAGACGAAGAGTGCACTAAACACTCGACTCCTGGCAGATTTCACAATTTTCACTTCACTATAAACTACCGGAAAACCTACGATTTAAGGAGCGACGTTACTAGTATCACCTTCGACTGTGAATCGTGCGACAATGATTGCTAGAATCATATCGTAGTAACCTCGTAGTAGTACCCAACCGCTACGATTTTAAAGCGCGCACGCAGGGAAGGAAAACGGCACCGCGTCCCTTCCCTCTACCTTTCTCCTCTCTGGCCACCCATAAACCTTCATTCCGTCTTGACGGTCAGGCACGCGAACAAGGAACGCGGTGCTAGTTTCCTTCTCTGCGTGCGCGCTTCAAAATCGTGGCGGTTGGGTACTACTACGAGGTTACTACGATATGTATTGTAAATATTTACTTCGACGAGGACGGTACATAATGTATAATTTATTACTCTTACACTAATTTGTTTCACTTGCAACTAATTAGTTACAAATTTATAAATATGTCGACTGGACTATGGCACTTCGTGTTGTGACTATGTGTATACCATGTGATTCATCGGTCGCTACCCGTTGACTGCTCCTATGGTGGAGGCGTCTGCGTCCTTATTTTAAATTCAGTGAACTCTAGAGTATTCGCGCGCTCTATCGGAGATATCAAGATGGCTATCGATACTTCTCGAACGCTTCTGATGTCGACCGAAACTCCTCGATTATTCTGCAATCGCTCACGCACAGCCGCGTAACGGGGGTTGCCTAAGCGTCGATGTTTCTGGACACATCTCGAATCTTCTGGTCGATGTTTGAAGGTTTTTCGCTGCCACCCAGAGTTCCAATCCTACGGACGTCTGGACAGTACAGTAATGACAGTTATTTTAGTAAGTGACAACAAAAACGGGAAAATGGTTGCTCCATCGTTCCTGACATATACAGGGTGTTCCTTAATGATATGCGAATATTTAAGGGTGTGAATCTATATGAAAAATTAATGTTAGTTTGCGTTATAAACTATGGTCCAAAAATGTTTCCTTACAAAAACTGAAGTTTTAGGAAAAAAAGTGGAGCCAGCGACATATCCCAGAGCAACTAGATATTTATTGCTAAATTGCATTCTTCAGTTATTACATTAATTTTCTCGGACAATTTTTTATTTTTTTATTCAAAAATGGAGCATCGAAGGAAAACAATTCAAGATAGATCATTTGTTTTAAATTGAACGGGAAATTCAAAAATAATTTTTATTTGGCAAAAAACGTTGGCGTACCATTTTTTTCTTAAATAATATCGAAGTCAATACCGGTACGCACGCCACTGTTAAGGCTAAAAATTATTTCTGCATTGAAAGATATGCAACTTTATTTACTTTCACTACGTACTAAATATCAGTGAAATATCTGGAGCGGTTCTGAAAATATTAATTAATTTCCATTTTTTTCCTAAAACTTCAACTCCTGAGTTTTTGTAAGGAAACATTTTTGGACCATAGTTTACAAAGCAAACTAACATTAATTTTTCATTTAGATTCACAGACTCAAATATTAGCATATCATTAAGGAATACCGTGTATAAATGACAACCTTTATTATTCAAAATGTCAGAGGCAGTTATTAAGTGAATTTTGTACTACCCTGTTTCATGCAGCAATGGGTGAAGCATACATTAGTCATTCGAAGTTTAAGTCCTAGAGATACTTATAAAAGTAAAAAATAGATTTACATACAGTGCCGCCTACCAAATTTTTGAACAGATCAAGCTAGCAAGCCAAAATTCGGGGTAATGACATTTATACATGTATGCTATTGTAATGCCCTGTATAGTGTGATAGGTCAGACAGCTAGTTTGTCAGTTTTGGTATTTTTGAGATCTGTGTCATGTGTCAAATTTTATTTTAGGTATGTTGTCATTTTCAGCCTCGAAAGTTAATTCCGAGCCATGTATGTTGTGTTGTGTGTTGCCTATAATACGCAAGTGGGTGCAATATTGCCCGAGCTGGTTTATTATATGAGTTAGCAGTAGATGGCTCGTAGAGTCGTACAATCTTGGTACTACGGAGTTGGCAAAAAGGACACAGGTGGCCTAGTTGCCAGGCTTTGCCCGCCCACCACTACTGCTACTTCTAATATACAGCGTGGGCCATGAATTAGTTAACATTTGAAAAAATCGTATAAAAAGAACATTTGACATATTTTAAAAAATGTTTATTCACAAGAAAGCTAATTTCATATCTTGAATATTATATCATCTAAATGACCAACCACCGTTACGATTTTTGCACCCTTCTAAACGTGTACCGAAGTTTTCGAATACCCGTCGGCATAAAGACTGCGAGATCGCCGACATGTCTTCGTTGATGTTTCCTTTTAGTTGACGGAGTGTACTTGGTTTATTGATGTGGATACGACTCTTTAAATAACCCCATAAAAAAAGTCTGGTAGGGATAGATCTGGACCTCTGGGTGGCCATGGGATGTCGCCTCGTTTGGAAATGAGCTCCGTAAATATTTCTTTGACCACCGGCAAGGACTCGTTGGATGTGTGACACGTGGCTCCATCTTGTTGAAACCACGTGTTATGATTATAGCCAGCAAATTCTAGTAGCATCAATGCCAAGAACACCCGTTACATTTTCACATACTCATCAGAATTAACAGTAACTGAATGGCCGCGAGAATCTTCAAAGAAGTAGGGACCAATGATTTCTTTTGCTTAAATTGCAGCCCATACAGTTACTTTAAAATGGCTTCTCGTGTTTAGCTTTGGGATTTTCGCTGCTCAAGTACCTGCAATTCTGTTTATTCACATGTCCGTTGAGGTGGAAATGGGCTTCGTCAGAAAATAAGAGATTGTCAAAATTACTGAACCGAGCTAACATCGTTTCGGCATACGACTTGCGGAGATTTAAATCATTAGGGTTTAGTTCCTGCACTATCTGGATCTTATATGGATGTAATTTCAAATCTAATCTCAAAATACGGCGTAATTCAGCCGAACGTTTGCGCGTCGATGAATCTGGATCACGTTGAGCAGAAGCGGAAACTTGCTGCACGTTCTCTTCGCTCCGAGCAGTCCGTGGGCCGCCGGTTTGTTTCACATTCAGTGTAAATCCCGTCACTTCGAACTTCTTCACCCATTTCTTTATCAAAGGAGCACTCTGACACTGACTTAAGCCGTGTAAATTGTATTCAACGCGAAATAAGCGTCTCACAGTAATTTTTTTTATACTCCAACTACCACGAAGGCCTAAGGCCTAAGCACCCATTGGCTACCATGGGGCTATAGGGGGATACATGGGAAAGGGGGAACACGTGTACATGCAACATGCACACATTCTGGCTCCGCCTACGAGATCCGCCGGGTGGTACCTCCGCGTTCGACAGTCAGAGACCATCTACCACCTACGGACAATCAGATCATCCATAGCCAAGAAAAAGATTTCTCCTGGGACGGGACTCGAACCCGCACAGCGCACGGCGACTGATCAGGAGACCGAAGAGTCTACTACTGCGGCTACCGCTGGTGCCTAAATGTAATGTAATGAGCGAATTGTTGTTTAAATAAGATTGTTTCACACAGTAAGCGCGTTGCGGCCCCGTGAAGCGATCCATTAAGCGCGTTGCGGCCCCGTGAAGCGATCCATTGCGACTGAATTTCCGAGAAACGAGCTAGCGGCTAGCCCCCTCCCCGCGCTTCGCGCGGCATCTCTTTGCGTGGTGTATTAGATTTAAATGTTAACGAATTCTTGGCCCACCCTGTAGAAGACTGATAAATTAACACTGTCTCATCGATCATGGCACTGAGCGAAACTTAAGCGCTACGCCTACATTATAGCTACTCTTACTTTTATGTATACTAAGTGACATATAAATCCGAACACCCAGTTTAAATGGTTTTATTTTAATAACAGTTGGTGAATGTATTTATCTTACTGTAAATAACAAGTGATAAAATTTTCAGCCTTATCAGTTGGACATTCCGGGTTTTTTTTTAATTCACTAACTCTCTAAAAATGAATATTTCAGCCGCAGTAAAGAATCAACATTGGCGGATTTTGGTTCTTGACATCCTTTACGATCGGTTACGATACCTAGAGTACGGAGACCTGTACGATTTCGTCAACTTAGTGAGTTTGATAGGGGCCGTATAGTGGACTTTCTTTTCGGGCAACTGCAGTTAAAGTGCAAAGAAGTTTAGACACTGTGGTTAGGTGTTGTCAGGCATGGCTTCGAGAAGGCCGTACGCAAAGAGCAAGGGGCACTGGCCGCCGCCTAAGATTATTGGCCTTAAGGGACCGTTTCTCCACTACCAGGTCCATTGCAAATGAATGGTTTGCAGAACACGGAAGACCTATTGGCATGCGAAGTGTTTACCGACGAATGAGAAGTTTTGGCTTGTTTTCATACCGGCCCCACTGGGTCCTCCCTTTAACTCGAGAACACCGACGTAATCGCCTTGAGTGGTGCAGACAACGGTCACTCTGGGATCAGGAATGGAACAGTATTGTCTTTAGTGACGAGTCTCGATTTTGTTTAGGCATGCACGATGGTCGTGCCAGGGTTAGAAGGTGACGTGGTGAAAGGAGAAATCCACAGTTTTTTTGTTGAAAGACATGTTCATCACACTATTGGAGTTATGGTTTGGGGTGCTATAGCTTATGGTTCCAGGTCACCTTTAATATTCATCAGAGGTAACATGAACGCGCAGCGTTATATACACGAAGTTCTAGAACCCCATCTTTTACCCTATCTTGACACCCTGGCAGATCCAACTTTCCAACAAGATAATGCCCGACCACATGTTGCAAGAGTCACAATAGACTTCTTTCAACATGATGATGTCACATTGTTACCATGGCCACCAAGATCTCCCGACTTATCCCCAATTGAGCACGTGTGGGATATGATGGGTAGGAGATTGCTCAATTTGCAACGTCCTCCTCAGACTCTAGAAGCACTTCGAGAGGAGTTGGTGGTTGCCTGGAATGAGATACCACAGGAGGACATTGACCACCTGATCAGAAGCATGCCTAGGTGCGTTGGAGAATGCGTAGCACATCAGGGTGCTCTACACATTATTAAAGGTTAAAGGGCTTTAAAGCAGTGCAATCATTTTGAAATTTTTATCATTTACTTATTATGCTTCATTAGGTACTTATACAAAATTTTATTAAAATAAAACCATTTAAACTGGGTGTTCGGATTTATATGTCACTTAGTATATGATTTTTTGTTTTTTTAGGTGGTGTTTGCCTGCTAGCAGGTATCATAATCACAGCAGTGGAAATAATCTACCCTCATAGTTTCTCAACTATATTGGAAGTGGATTATGACACTCCTTATGATAGACATATAATTATCGAAGATAGTAGGGGTAGAAGAGCACAGAAGAAGAACATGAATGCTTGTAGTAGGTTAGAAGAACCAGAAGTTAGCCATCAGTCTTTGGGTTCGAGAATATTGAGGTGAGTGGAATAACGTCAAAGAAAAAAATATTTTCATACTTGAAAAAGGTAACGATAAACATAAGATCACGCACCATGACAGGTTGTGTTTCCCAAATCATGACTTTCACTGCGATATGATTTGCCAACTACTATCATTAAATTTAGGATTATGTTAGGTTTTATGATACCTAAATGACCATTCAAACAGTTAACAAATTATCATCAATCATTCACAAAAGAAATGGCGGTAAATAGTTAATTACGTTCCAAATTTCACTTGCATTACAATAAAAATGATCTGTCTATAGTAATTTCATTGTCTATACATGGAAACAACAAATGTATCGAGAATATGTGTTGATATTTAATAATAATAATAATACTTTGTTTATTCCCACAAAGGAAAATACGAAACAAGTTGCAAGGCCAGTTTTATATGAACATACAGGGCGTCCGCAAAGTTGGGGTTTTCCTTTTCAGAAACAACTACCCTTGAAATAACAAAGGTAATGTGTAGTGAGGGCGACCAAGTAAAAAAAAAATAATTGAAAAAGTACTCACTCTCGAGTTGACGAGAAGGGCTAAGTACGTCTCTGCCTGAAATCATACCGCTCCAACAGAAAATGAAATCAGCTGATGCATCCCGTCCAATCGATTTGGGAGAATAAATGGTCCAATGAGCATACCGTTCACCATGCCAGCCCAAAGATTCACCGAAAATGTTTGTTGAAAATGAGCCCGACGGACAGCGTGCGGATTTTCTACTGACCAAACATGAGTGTTGCGAAAGTTATTTACCCCATTACGCGTGAACGTAGATTCGTCTGTCACCAATATGCACTTCAAAAAGTCCGGATTATTGTCATGTTGATGCAACAACCACTCACAAAAGCGCACTCTTGCTGGAAAATCGTCGGGTTGAAGGGCTTGTACACGTTGGACGTGAAACGGATACAGCCTCTTCACGCAGCGTTTGCCACACTTTAGTTTTTGATACTTGCACTTCTCTAGCCACGTCTCTAGTGCTTGTTGAGGGATTCTCGTCTACGCGATTACCTCTAGACGCGTGACCGTAACCGTCGGTTGAAGGTTGCATACTGACCTGACACACTGACCCCGACCCAGTTCTGTCGTCGGGTTGAGCTAGTGTCCTAGTACCAGTCGGGGATGTCGCGGCTACAGGACGGTATTCAGATATTTTTGATGTTGCAGAGCCCTTTATCTCGGTTCCCTCAAGACATTGGTGTATATGGTACTAAGTAAAAATGCTTATGTTTTAAAGATCTACGCATCGTGTAAAGGAAAACCCCAACTTTGCGGACACCCTGTATAGTGAGAGGGGTGAAGTTCGACATATCCGCTCTTCCACTTAACCCCTGGTTTTAGGTTTACATCATAATAAGATAAGCATATATAAATGAGGTTAAAAAATATATGTATGTATAAGCAGTATCAGAGAATGGACCCTAGCAGCTAATTTGATAAATGGTACTATAAAAATACATAATGACTCCAAAGTCATACCATGCAATTACCTGCAATGTAATAGCGTATACGTTTTTTAAACAAATCAATAGAAAGAGAAGTATACTCTCGCGGGATATTATGAGAAAGTTTACTGATATTATACGAAAAAGATCTTTCGAATAAGGTGGTAGAATGAAAAGGCGGTGTCAGTTTTGTTTTGTTGCGGGTATTGCGATTGTGAGCCAAGTAACGGAAATGCATTTTTTCGTGTAAGTAGGATGGTAGTTTATGTATAATAATCTTATGGGTACTGTACGAGGCTATGAAGCAGCCTGCGTTGCTTCATGTTCAGCCAGCCAGCATCAGTAAGCTTTGATGAAACAGAATCGTATTTTCTTAAACCAAAAATAAGTCTCAGACAAGAATTTTGCACGCGTTGTATTTTATCAGAGGAGAGTTTAGTTAGACATTTGTCATAGACGACATCACAGAAGTTAAAATGCGACAGAACAAGAGAATTGCATAGTATGACTCTAGTTTTTTGTTTCATGTAAGATTTTTGACCGTATATCGTCTTTAAATTACAATGGGCCCTTCTGGAGCACTTGTTAGCGTGATCCTCAAACCTTAAGTTTTTGTCAAGGTATAAGCCTAAATTAGCAGCATTACAAAAAATGAAAAAAAATAAAGCTCCGGGACCGGGGGATTTGCCTATCGAGTTAATTAAACACGCCACCACAGGAACGCACGAGCTACTTTGTGTAATTTTTAACAAGTGCCTGGAAGGGGAAACGATTCCCAGAGATTGGAGGAGCTCTTACATAAATTCCATTTATAAAAAGGGAAACAGGAGTGACTGTAGTAATTATCGGGGTATTAGTATTACATCGTCCATCGGAAAGCTGTACGAAAGAGTCCTAACAGCCCGAATAGAAGACGAAGCCACGGAAATTGAAGAACAAAGTGGATTTCGACCTGGGCGATCCTGTGTCGACAACATATTTACAATAAAACAACTGACAGAAAAGAGATTAGCAAGAGGAATGGAGCTACACGCTACTTTTAAAGATCTCCGCAAGGCATTCGACTCCGTCCCTTTGCAGAAATTATGGATCGCAATGAAAGAAGCAGGCATAAATAGCAAATACATAAACGCCGTAAAAGCAATGTATAGAGAAAATCAAGTGGTCGTTAAAGTCGGAAATCAAATTTCTGAGGCTTTCCCACAAACAAAAGGTGTTAAGCAGGACTCCTGCCTCTCTCCAACCCTGTTTAAAATTTATCTCTGCAGCGCTTTAAAACAGTGGATAAGAAAGTGCAGCCCCATGGGGATATGGTTAGAGGACTTTCACTTGTATACAATCCTCTTTGCAGATGATCAGGTAGTCTTTGCAGAAGACCAGCAAGACATGACTTACATGATAAACAAACTTATAGAAGAATTCACTAAATGGGGTTTGGAGATAAATATACAAGATACACAATACATGACTATAGGAGGCACAGGACAAGACTTCGAAACAAAAAGCGGAAAAATGGAAAACCTCGGACAGTACCAGTACCTAGGAGTTACAATAGATGAAAGCGGAAAGGATAATAAAGACATACCAAGGAAAATAGGAAAAGGAAAAAATATGATTAAAGCACTACATCCGATCTTGTGGAGTAAGAACCTAACAAAGAAAACAAAAAAAATTATATATGAGGCTATGTTCAGTCAGTACTGACGTATGGGTCAGAAGCGTGGGTTGTAGATAAAAATATGTCACAAAAGCTTCTCTCAACCGAAATGATGTACTGGAGAAGATGTTCCGGTTTAACTTTACTTGACCATGTTAGAAATGAGACCATCAGAGAAAGAATGGAAGTCGAAAATACAATAATGGACGATATAACAGAGAGGCAGTTAAAATGGTATGGACACCTGCAACGAATGAACGAAGAAAGGATACCATTAAGGGTTTGGAAATGGACACCAGCACAAAGAAATAAACGAGGAAGACCACGAAGGAAATGGATTTCAAACATCCATACCGCAATGGAAATTAGAGGACTACATGAAGGAGACTGGAACGATAGGATACGATGGCGTATGGGTTGCGAGAAGCGACCTTAGGTTGCAGAAACTCGCCATATATATATATATAGATATATATATATATATATATATATATATATATATATATATATATATATATATAAGCCTAAATTACGCGCTATCGAGCTCATTTCTAATGTATTGTTATCGAGGTTTATTTTCACAAGAGGTTCACAATGGTCTCTCCAATTTTTCGATCCGAATAACATGAATGTACTTTTAGCCGGATTCAAGTCATAGCATATTGTTTCGAGACGCTTTAGTGAGACGGTCAAGGTCTTTATTCATCAGATCAACAGCAGGCAATGCTTGAGCTGGAGGAAATGATAAGTACACTTGTGTATCATCTGCATAAAAATGAGCTTTACAAGGGTGAAGACTGAAGTATAGATTAGAGGTGTAAACAATAAACATTAGCGGACCCAGAATAGAGCCCTGAGGAACACCAATGGTCACTTTCAGTGGCGTGGAGTACTTATGATTCAGCATTACCTGCTGTTGACGATCGCTGAAGTAGCTACGCATTAGAGACTCTGCATCGGCCGAGAATCCGTAAAAGTGGAGCATGGCTAAGAGTACGTCATGATGTATCCTGTCAAATGACTTATAATCTAAGAGCACCAAGGCAGTCAGATTACCTTTGTCAGCACTGCATAATACATCATCCACCACTCCCAGCAATGCTGTCGCACAGCTATGCGCCGGACAGAACCCTGATTGTGTATCTATAATGAGGTTATTCGTTCTTAAGAGTTCACTTATCTGAACATCCATTATTGATTCAAGCAATTTAGACAATGTTGGCAATATACTAATATTACGCAAATCCTTGAGCTCAGATGGCTGAGAAACTTTAGGCAAAGACACAATCAAAGCGTGTTTCCAGCAAAAATGGAAATAGCGACGCATTAATGATATGTCTAATGAAAGGAATAATTTTGGGGCAGCAATACAACAGCATTTCGATATTTATCAAATCAGCACCTGATCTGTGGACGCCAAAGCGAATTCAAAGAGGTATACATTAGGTTTGACATTCTTATAAAAAGAAAGTGTATCAGCATCAGGTTCTATACCTGCACTAGATAAAGACGTAAAGTACCGGTTCATTTCGTCAACATCAGCTAAATCTACTAGAACAGATGACCATTGCCAAAGTTCGTAAATACCAAATCTTTCCATAGAGTCTTATTCGAGTAGTTCGTACTGCTAATGAATCTTTTTAGCATTATCAGTTGCCAATTTTACTATATTACGTAACTTCTTGTATTCCTCCCATTTCTGATCACACCTTGATCTCCTATAGGCAGTGAATTTGTCATCTCTAAGCTTCATTATAAATTTAATATTATCAGTCAGCCACGGAGCTGGCTTTTTCGTAAAAATATAGGGTGCAAATTTGTCAAATAGCTCTAAAACTAATTGAATAAATATATAGGGTCTCCCATAAGTCCTTTGAGCTGGAAAAAAAGAATAATACCAAACTAGTTACATTATGAAGAATTATTATATTTTGTTATCATCTTTATTGAATGGGAATTATGTTTTAAAAATCTTATTGTCTAAATGCAATCCATTACGGTCACGGCACTCATATAAACGACGTCTAAAATTGTCGATGACTGCGCGGCAAGTCAACACTGTAATGCTTGCCATTTCTCTTCGGATATTTTCTTTCAGGAGATCAACTGATCGCGGAGTGGTGTCGTACACTTTACTCTTGAGGTAGCCCCATAAAAAGAAGTCCATTGGGGTCAAATCTGGACTACGTGGTGGCCAGGAAATGTCTCCTCTTCGAGAAATTACTTTGCTGGGAAAAAGTTGACAGACGACGGGCATAGAAGTGTTGGAGGTGTGGGCAGTTGCTCCGTCCTGTTGAAACCAGGTCTGCGTATTATAGCCTGGAAAATTCTGCAACGCTGGTGTCAAAAACTCTTCTATCATTGCTACATACCGCTCCGAAGTAACAGTTAATACGCGACCTCTGTCGTCCTCAAAAAAATAAGGGCCTACGATGCCATGTGCTGACATAGCAGCCCAAACTGTAACCTTAGTGCTGTGTAAGGGCTTCTGATGCTTACGCCTTGGATTTTCGGGGCTTCAATAACGGCAATTCTGTTTATTTACTATCCATGCCCGTTTAAATGGAAGTGAGCCTCGTCCGAGAAAAACACATTATTGAGCGAAGAAAATCGATTCAACATTTCATTCGCAAAGTTTAGTCTCTGAATAGCGTCATTATCTTTTAATTCCTGCACTAACTGAATTTTGTAAGCGTGCAGACGTAAATCTTTCCTAAAAATCCGCTGTAAAGATGTTCTGGGTACGTTTAGTGCACTGGAATGCTTACGAGTAGACTGGGTAGGATTTTGACGAATAGACTGTGCCACAATGTTGATGTTTTCTTCAATACGAGTTGTCCTTGGTCGACCCCACCGCTGTTTATCTAACGTCGAACCAGTCTCTTCGAACTTACCAACCGAGTTCTTAATCGTTTGAGCTGTTGGACACTTTGTAAAACTGTGTAAATTGTGGTATTCTGGATATTTACGCCGCGCAATGGTTGCCGAATCATTATTTTGATAAAACGCGCGCACACAAAAAGCACGATCCGCTCCAGTGAAACACTCCATGGCGACTGAATTCCCAGACACTGAAGATACTGCCCCCACCTCGCCCGCGCCGCTCACGCTCACCCGCTAAATTTTATTCAAATTTGAAATTTCAAAGGACTTATGGACCACCCTGTATTTAATTTCGTATCTACATCCTGACAATAAATTATCTGCATAAAATCTACTTCATCCAGAGCAGTCTTAAAGGATTCTTGGTTGATATTTTTGAAATCTCTCTAGCTATGTAGTACAGGTTGTTTGGTTTCTACCTCATATTCAAGGACTATAGATATAAAACAATGATCAGACAAATTTGGTACATTACGTACATCACAAGTACTTGGAATATCATCAGAGCAAAAAAAGAGATCTATGAACGTTTAGGAGGAGACTCCAAATCTGGTCGGCGAAGCTACTATTTGATGCAAACCAAAAGTATTCGTCGAATCATCAAATAACTTCACAGCATTACTGTTTTTATCGAGAAAATCAATATTAAAATCACCAGTGCAAATCATTTTGACATATTTCGGATATAATAAACTAAGCGAATCTTGAAACTGATTGATAAAATCATAAACGTTGCACGACTCCAAAGCAAAGACTCGTCGCTTTAATTTTGAATGTATACTAAGTGACATATAAATCCGAACACCCAGTTTAAATGGTTTTACTTTAATAAAATTTTGTATAAGTACTTAATGAAGCATAATAAGTAAATGATAATAATTTCAAAATGATTGCACTGCTTTTAAGCCCTTTGACCTTTAATAATGTGTGGATGCACCCTGATGTGCTACGCATTCTCCAACGCGCCTAGGCATGCTTCTGATCAGGTGGTCAATGTCCTTCTGTGGTATCTCATTCCAGGCAACCACCAACTCCTCTCGAAATGCTTCTAGAGTCTGAGGAGGACGTTGCAAATTGAGCAATCTCCTACCCATCATATCCCACACGTGCTCAATTGGGGATAAGTCGGGAGATCTTGGTGGCCATGGTAACAATGTGACATCATTATGTTGAAAGAAGTCTATTGTGACTCTTGCAACATGTGATCGGGCATTATCTTGTTTGGAAAGTTGGATCTGCCAGGGTGTCAAGATAGGGTAAAAGATGGGGTTATGGGGTTCTAGAACTTCGTGGATATAACGCTGCGCGTTCATGTTACCTCTGATGAAGATTAAAGGTGACCTGGAACCATAAGCTATAGCACCCCAAACCATAACTCCAACAGTGTGATGAACATGTCTTTCAACAAAAAACTGTGGATTCCTCCTTTCACCACGTCGCCTTCTAATCCTGGCACGACCATCGTGCATGCCTAAACAAAATCGAGACTCGTCACTAAAGACAATACTGTTCCATTCCTGATCCCAGAGTGACCGTTGTCTGTACCACTCAAGGCGATTACGTCGGTGTTCTCGAGTTAAAGGGAGGACCCAGTGTGACCGGTATGAAAACAAGCCAAAACTTCTCATTCGTCGGTGAACACTTCGCATGTCAATAGGTCTTCCGTGTTCTGCAAACCATTCATTTGCAATGGACCTGGTAGTGGAGAAACGGTCCCTTAAGGCCAATAATCTTAGGCGGCGATCTTCACGGTCTGTTGTTCTACGGTGGCGTCCAGTGCCCCTTGCTCTTTGCGTACGGCCTTCTCGAAGCCATGCCTGACAACACCTAACCTCAGTGTCTACACTTCTTTGCACTCTAACTGCAATTGCCCGAAAAGAAAGTCCAGCTTCCCGAAGTCCCACTATACGGCCCCTATCAAACTCACTAAGTTGACGAAATCGTACAGGTCTCCGTACTCTAGGTATCGTAACCGATCGTAAAGGATGTCAAGAACCAAAATCCGCCAACGTTGATTCTTTACTGCGGCTGAAATATTCATTTCTAGATCGTTAGTGAATTAAAAAAAAAGCAGTATAAAAACCGGAATGTCCAACTGAAAAGGCTGAAAATTTTTTCACTTGTTATTTACAGTAAGATAAATACATTCACCAACTTTTATTAAAATAAAACCATTTAAACGGGGTGTTCGGATTTATATGTCACTTAGTATATTACAGTTAATTGCTTTAGTACTCACTATAACATTATTCTCGCATTCCTTGCAGAGCTCGACATCGGGTGCCATGACGAAAACAAAGACCCAATTTCCCTGAGCTATCTATTAGTACAGCGTGGATGAGGTTTTTGCTTCTTGGAATTTTTGTCAGAGCAAAAAATAGATGGAGTGCAGACAAAAATAGACCGTATTGTATAACTACTTATGGAGAAATTGCAATAGATCAAAGACAACAGACGACATTCACATACCTAACTCACATGAAAATGCAGACACTACGCACTTCCACGTATGCTGAAACACAAAATTATTTATTGTATATGTCCTCTAGAAAAATCAACTTCATCGTCCCGCTAGCCGGTCCTTTGTTCTGCTTACCGCGTTGGAAGCAGAACAAGGATCGCATTTCATATGCTTTGCTGAAAAATCTATTCTAAACTGAATCCAAATTCAAGATGAGATGTAAATAATAACAGTTAGCGCGTGATCTCTCGGTAACAGGTGGGGACAACGCCTCTTATTGGTCAATTCGCAATTAAATTTCAAGCGGTCGCCTGGCGGAATAATGCGCGGGGCAGGGGCAGGGCAGGCAGAGTTGCATTCAGGCCACCGACCGTTTTACAACACGTTGGTGGTCGTCCATCATTCGTAGGTAGCCCTGAATGCGGCCCTGTACGCCGTCCTTGCTTTTGACAATCATGCATCCATTCTATCTTGGGTGTAAATACACTATAGAATGTTCTTATTTATTTGAGCGCACGATGGAACTTTAAAGCATCACTGATAGCTTAAAAATTCAAGTCAATGGCGATGAAAAACACACCTTTCTGAACCTGCTTTCCAATCTCGTTCAACCATCACCGGAACATCGAAAGAGTTTATGTCAAATTTTGAAGCGACGTAACATTGCAGGAGGCTGAATTCGAGAAACGACGAAGTCATAGAACCTGGGAAACATTCAGCATATGAAAAAGAGTTTTACTTGGAGCCTAGTTCGTGGCGTTATCCACAGCGAAAAAGTAGTGAAAATGGCAGGCGATCTACACCGTCTTTGCGGAAAGAGGGATCAAAGTGAGTAATAGTTTCAGTTCTTCTTCCTAGGAATGTTGTTCAGTCCAAATCTCAAATCATGTGAAATGTTTCTCATAGAAGATGACAATTTCTGCAGTCTAGTGGTCTTGAAGTTACATACGAAAATATTTTCCAGTCATTATGACTCCCACAGGGGAAGCATTCTAAGCCTTGTTCATACAGCAGTCGCCAACATGTCAGTAACCGTGTCCACGATCCCGCCACAGAAATTCCATTCTTTCTACTACGTTAAACAGATCCAGATCCTAGACATGTTGCCGACCACTGTACTGACAAAGCTCTATGTTACAGTATTTCAAAATTGGAAAAAAGTAGAGCGTGTTCACCTATAAAAATCCCTGCCACTGACTCTGGAGAACGTCGAGAAAGGTGGCATGTCTCTAGGGAATTTATTCTTGATCCCTCAGATTCTTTCGAAGTGAGGTCTATATAAGAATAGGAATGTAAAAATTTGATAAAAATAAGTAAATTGGAGTCATATTTTTCGGACATTTTATCATTCCCATTACAAATGAAAAAATCCTAAGGCAAGATTAACTAAATCAAATTTACGTGTCTCAATTTCATGCCGCATAGTTAAATTTCTGGATATCTCCAAGCCGAAAAAAAAAATTCTAATCAACTATGACACATACAAATTACACAGAAAACATTGCAGTACCAAAAATGATCTTGTTTGTTTGTTTGTTGAAGATTTATTTAGCATTAATGCTGCAATGTAAATTTTGTATAATGATTCGGTTACATATTTTTCTTCAATCCTTTTTTTGTAATTTTACATTTTTGTCTATTAAAATTAAAATTACGTCACTATGTATTTTGATTATTCATAAAGTGAATTTTTATTTTTAATTTAAACATTTTTAAATTCGAACCGTGTTCAATATCATTATTCAATTAATTAAATTCAAATACTCCCTTTTGAAATATATATTTACTAGTTATGCTACTATAACAATTTTGCAGATGAAAATCTATACCGCCTCTAGCTTTGTAGTTATGATAATGACCATTTAATTTTGTGACGTTCTCCAAATGTGGTGGTAATAAATAATTTTTTAATTTGAATATCAAAACGAGAACAAAATAATATATGAAATTTTTCACATCCAACCACTGCAGTTCTTCTAACATAGACTTAATCCTAGCAGATTTGTTTTTATTTAAAATGATTCTCATAGCTTGATTTTGTAGAATTTGTAATTTTGAAAATATGTTTTCTTTTGCTGTAAACAAGATGGTTGAACAATATAAAAAATGGGGAAGAATTAAAGTGTTATACACATTTTTTTTGGAATACAGATTAAGATTATGGGAAACTCTATAGAAGTAATTTATCTTTTTCGAAATTTTTGTAATAATGAATACATTGTTCGTGAAACAGTAGTTTGCTATCCACATATATACCAAGATATTTAAACGACTCGACTATTTCAATTTTTTCATCATTAATCATGAGACTAATTGTATTGTCACCTAAGTGTTTCCCTATTGACATACATTTTGTTTTATTAGTGTTTAATTTAAGTTTATTGACATTTAACCAATTCATAATTTTTTCACTATTTAACAGTTCTAAAGCAGCGTCCAAATGCTTATGTGCTATATATATACTCATATATATAAGTGTATCGTCCGCAAATATTTGAATTTCGCAGTGTTCTGAAATGTCCGAGGTATCATTTATATAGACTTTGGTTTTGGCTGCTTCTCATACGTTAATTGCCCAGCTTGGCTAATGATATGTTTCTACAACACCATCTCTATTTTTTTCTTACCTGTTATAGCAGACGACAAGATCAGGGTATAAACTTTAACGAAAGCATCTGATAAGGGGCAAGATTATGAATTCAAAATAGTCAGAAATCAAAAGAACAGTTAGGCAAAATTATGCTTACCTTGGATCTGAGTAAATTTGCAAAAAACACGAAATTCGACATGACAGCAGCAAGCGAAAAAATTGCGACCTCGGCTCAGGGCACATCACTCATTTCACATCCTTCTGAGAATTTTCCACGGGTATCTGCGCATGGCGTATTTACGCATTTGCCTAGTTGCTAAATTGAGCATTGGAATTTCCTTGCTAGACGAAATCCGAATCATAATAATCTGTCATTATCAAAAATTACCTCTGAGAAATGGCAATGATTGATTTAGACTTAAGCTCTATTGAATCCAGGAGCAAAAAATGTACATGTACGTTTTAAAAATGTGCTTTGCAACACGAAATCAATCGTAAATGATACTTCTCTTATATCGAAAAAAAAAATATTTTTTGATAATAGGACCTATTAAGCGTTTACCCTTTTACCGTCTCCATTTTCTCGATGTCTTCAGAGGCGACAAAGTATAATCGCATCATAGATAAAATATTATTCGCCTAATCATTTTAATGTAAACAATACTACTTCAAAGTGAAATAAACCTAACCGTGATATACAACAACAAAATTTTGACCGGTTACCGCGACTTTTCTATTTCCTGGACAGAACCTGTAAGAAAGTAAGTCTGGCAACTATGTCCTCGGGACCAACTGATTGGAACGTTCCAGGAACGATCCCAATGGGATGTTCTAACGGCATCCCATTTTAAGACTGGACCTACCGACCCAACTTGGACCTAAATCCGACGTTCCAGGGACCAAGCGAGCTAGTGGGATACTTTTTTGTTTGATTGTTGAAGATTTATTTAGCATTAATGCTACAAAGTCAATTTTGTATAAACTACTCGCTTACACATTTTTCTTCAATTTTGCAGATGATACTCCCTCTAGTTTCGTATATATGATAATGACTATTTAATTTTGTGAAATTTTTTAAATGTGGGTAATACATGATTTTTTTAATTTGAATATGAAAATGAGAACTAAACTTTTATGACCATTTCCCTCGTCTTAATTTCTACCAATCACAAACGCGCAATTTTTAATTGCAAATGGTTTCAAGATGGAAAAATTGTATGGCAGCACCTGTCTGCAACTTTTTGGAGTCTACTCGCCGCAAAACTTGACAACTGCTATCACCAAAAATTACAATGCATTTGATAACAAGTAACTGTGGTCTCCTACAAAACGACGCTAAACAATTTTTCTAATTTTATTGTCAATACATTTTGTAATATTGTTTTTAAACAGTGCTACTCAGCTTATGGAGTGAAAATAAGTCGCTTTGGAATTGATTCTTTGACTAATATTGATCTGGTGGTTGAAAAAAGTGTACCGTACAATACGAGCCCCTTCCCACTTCAGTTGGCCCACTTCAAGATTTGTACCAAAATATGTCTTTATAAACTAAACATGACGAAACTATTTACTTCTAAAACAATTTATTTTCTCAAAAACATTTCAGATACACTCTAGTCGTAAAGAATGCATATTTGAAATCACTTAGACCTATAACTAATAGAACATCTGAACAAATAAACAATGTGCGAATAAATGCGCGAAGTTAACAAAGCAACAATTGAAAGATTACCATTGGCTAACATGGCCTTTATTTTTTATTACGGCTGAAATTCTTTGGGGCATAGTGTTAACCATGTTTTGGCAAAAATTTGGTGTAAAACAATCTCATATTTCTTGAAGCTTTTCACAAAGTTTCAATAGCTGACAGATCTGGACCGCTAGAAACCCATTTCAAAAGTGGTACATTATTTTCTTCCATCCATTTTATAGCCTATTTTGAGGTATGGCACGCTGCACCATCTTGCTGAAACTGCAAAATCTTGGCCGGATGTCAAACATTCTTCCATCACTGGTAAAAGCGATTCTTCTAAAATTCCCAAATATTTGTTTGTATCCACATTTAAATCAATAAGATGAAGTTTTCCTAATCCTTTTGATGACATGCTTCCCCAGACCATAATGGATGCTGGAAATTTCACTTTTCTCGTCAGACAGACAACATGGAATGCTTCATTTTTTTGCGAATAACTCTACTGGAACTGTCACCAACACAAACTTCGAATCGGGCCTCATCGCTCCATTGTATTGCACACCATTGTTGAGGTGTCGATTGTCTATGTTCTTTAGCCCATCTGAGCCGATTTTTCTTTTGCAGTGGAGTTAATAGTGGCTTTTCTTTGGCCTATAAACAAGTTGTGCAACTTTAGGGTTTTTACTTCACTTTTTTTTATAAGAAAACTTACCTTGCAAATACTAAATCCCAGTTTGTGGGCCTCTCTATGAGTTGTGGACCTCGAAATTCTCCTTCCAACAGCGTCACTCCACAGAGCACTTAATTGTAAATAATTGGCACGTCTGTTTTTCACGATTATTCTTCTTAATGCTCTTCGGTCGGCATTTGTGATATTACTTTTTTTCACATATCGTGGCTTAATATTAACTGAACAAGTTACGTTATATCTTCTAACAATATTTCTCACACTGTACCGCGATAAGTCTAATAAAGTTGCAATTTCTGAGTTTGATTTACCAGAATTAAAAAATTTAATTATCAGTAACCGAATTTTCTCACTAATAACCTTTCCTCTACCTATTTTGAAAATCTTAACTACCCAAAACTATTTTAAACATATTCTGACAGCTGTGATTAATAAAAACAATTGTCATGGCTTTTATTTTTCACAGCCCCCTATGCGTTATAGACTTATTTTGCATTGAAATGAAAATAGGTCGATATGCTGTAATTGCAACATGTGTTGTTTTTATGCTGCAAATTTGATTCTGGAGTGATAAAGTTGGTGTTTTCTACTATATATTATCAAAATGTTCATTGTTAATATTTTAAACCTATAACACCCTGCTACATTTTTATTATTTGTATTTGATAGGAAAAAAAACTAAGATTTCAATAGTTGGGCCAACTGAAGTGGGAAGGGGCTCGTACAGGTAAAGCCCATACGTCAATTTGGAAACAATTTACGGAATTCTGCAAGGCAAAGAAATACGAGCTTTTGGAAACTACAAGTTTAGTGCAACTAAACCTAATCCTGAAAGATTGGGCGAGGAATATGAAGAAAGAAAACAGTGAAACTTACAAAGAACTAGTTGCGAAGACAATGTGGAATACCATTGCAACAAAATGCATGGGATGTATTTTATGAATAATCTGCTACTCATGAAATAGTCTGATCAAACGCCATTTGAGCATCTAATTTTTTTCCTATGAAAAAAATCGAAAAAACGCAATGCAAAGTAATATTGTTTTAACAAAAAAAAAACAAATAGATGCCCTTATGATATAGGTACTTATGATAAAAATCTCATAAGATTCGAGAATTGAACTTCTGAAAAGAAATAAGTTCTCCTCATTCACTAGATAAAATAAGCCAGCATTTAGATGTTGTACTTCCTGACCTTACGTCTAAAGGTGGGATTCCACTGAGGCAACAGTTGACGACATGTGGCATGTTTCCCTAAGTAGCATGTGCTTTGTCGTACACGAGTGTAGCATGCGTCTTTACGATTCAATTCAAGCAACTTCAGTTTAGTACGTCATGTCATTACAAACACTCGCGGCGGCTGCTTATTTAGTCATTTCTTTGGATCGGAAAGAAGAGAAAAACGCCAGAATACTGGAGAAGAAATATTTACCCCCTTCTTGCAGTGCAATGATCCACTCTTTTCCAATACCGAACAGTTGTATTTTCCTATTTAAGGAAAAAGATCTGCCATAATTATACTTACCTGACAATTCCCGTAAATTACCCTGCTTTAGTCGCGCATCTTTACATCTTTCCGAGTATTGTTCCATAATTCACCCGAATCATGGTAATCTTTAATTAAACATGATATTTTCTCATTCTCTATTTTGTCACCTGCACCGATCCGAACGGGTTTGGATGGCCAGCGAACCTGATCGACACGTGGATTCATGTCGCTGACAGCGCCCTGGAGAGGCAACAACGGGCAACTTATGGCATGCAACAAGGAGTCATATTTTTTGTCGTATTGTGTTGCCTTTATGGAAAGAGAGTCTGCCGAGGCGTCAATGCCGTATAATACATGTTGCCCAAAAGTTGTCTCAGTGGAATTGCGCCATTAGAGTCGTATCGTCAGTCATTCCTACAATTTTAGGACGCCTTCATAGTTTTCTACTGTTCCGTGTCACCGCTTTATTTTCACAAATGTCTATTTGCATCAAGTTATTCATGCTTTTACTTATATTGTCTGTTTTATCAGCCTGAAATTTCCTACCGTTCAAAAAGGAAACATAACTTCACACTAGGAGAGCGCTGACGCTGACACGGAACAGTAGAAATCTAGAAATAAGCCTTTCTGAAGGAGATAAAAAATTAAGGAGGCCATAAAGGCGACTGGCGATACGGTCCTTAGATACTTACCTATTGCGACGATCTTCAACCGTATTTTTTTCTTCTAGGTACTCGAATCATCAAGTGCCTATGTGGTAGCAGTTTTTATATGATATGAAGTTAGAGTGGACACTATGAGAAGAAATCCCTCAAGTATTACTGCTCCCCAAAGGAGCGACAAAATGATGGTCTCCTTAAGCGAGGAACATGAAGTAGCGTCCCCTTAGAAGTGACGTAGGAAGCTAGGGGTATTGCAATGTCACTATGTAACGTTCGATCGGAATTCGAAATTTAGTGCAATCTAAATGAATAAGTGATTTTATTGTGATATACAGTTTTATGTGAAGAGACATTTTTATAAAATTGCCATATTTATATTTTAGTCTAGTTAAATTTATTTATGTAAAAATACATATTTTTATTTTTTAAGTGCACGTCGTTCATTCATACCACTACAAAAAATAAAGCAATTTATTTTTCAAAATAATCAAAGGACAATATGACAATATCTTAAATATGAAATACTCATTTATCTTAAATCACATATAGTCAGGATACTTATTTTATAAGTCACACAGGACAATCATTATATTCCTTAAATGGAATTTCTTAATTAAGTTATCTATGCCAACTCTAGTTCCAGTAGAAGCTTTGAAAAAAGCGATTGAGGACAAAGATGTCATGCAGTGCGTTTCTTAAATAAATAAAGAATTTTCATTTATATAGATTCAGTGCACAAACAGAAACTGCAAAATTTTGGGACGAATAACCAACAAGAGGTACCTTAATACTGTACTGTTAGATGGCACTTTCTTCTTCCTTATGTCAAATTGTGACATTTTACGTCAGCTAGTCGTTTTCGTAAAATTCACTGTACGAGCCTGCAACCGACCAATCAAGCTAGCGCAGTGCTGGTTGCGGTAATTTAGGTAAATATTAACAAAACGGCCGTTATGCCGTTCCTTCATACGGTGCGAATCTTATTTGGATAGCTTAACATACCGGATGTTTCAAATTTGACCTTCGGGATCTCGGAAACGGTCAGAAATACGAAGTCGGTTGAATTAGGCCAAAGTTGCGTACTTAGGAAACTGAGAAAATAGCACTCCGCAGTTCCGAGTATTTTCGGAGAAAAACGAATGAAACCGAATTTTCCCAAAATGGTTTTTCCTGGCTTCATTTGAGATGATATATCAAAATAAAAGGTACATTAACGTTGCCACTTTTTCTGCTGTACAAAATAGCATAACTAGAGTTTCAATATGACGTTTCGTCCTTTATCCTCAATCAGAACCCTTGTGTTTTTTTTAGATACCATGCTGGATTTTTGTACAGGTGAATAGACTTTCTAATTAAAATTCCAAAAATGTATAATTTGTCATATATTGACATTGCTATCCTTTGTTAATAAATAGAAACAAAGTTTTCTCAGCAGGCGTTCAAGTTAGCAGATAGTTTGTTTCATAATATCATCAGCCAAGCGTTCTTTCAGTTGTTATCAACTAGGCATAGGTGAAGAGTCCCTATTTTAGGTTTTAATAATATCATGATATTGATTGATATTATAAAACCTCAAATGTGTAAAAAAGTAATCTTCTTATAATTGGTCCTAATTCATCGAATAAGGGACACCCCTAAGCTAAAACTTTTTATACTACTCGAGGGTCGTATTGAAAACAATATTAATTTATTTAGTTTAATTGATGGAAAAATATTGAAGGACTCGACAACTCAGCAGCTCCCAAAACACATTTTATATCTGCCATATCTAAACCGATGAACAACTCTTGCATCAGTTACCATTATTCTATGGCTGAGTAGACTACGTAGACCGTATGACATTCAAAATATCTATAAAAGTAATGTTCCTGTAACACATCGAATAAAGAAAAACCTAGTAGTCTAAATTAGCAAATTTCCCCGAAATAATTGTGAAGTCTGGTTTTATTGGTGCAAGTTGTTCAAGGGGGTATTTAAAACATGTACGCATAAAATGGGTACCTACACGAATTTTGGTGGAAAAACTTTTTATTTGACAACAAAGAATGAGAAAACGTGTTTTTTGGGACTCAATCGAAAGTGTTGACAGAAACGAAAAAACTTTTCATATAAGATCTTTAGGCATTTATGAGACCTACAAAATGAGATCACACGTAAAAAGATCAGACAAATAGCAAAAATTTAAGGGCTGAAAAACGAGGCAAAATGCAGGTTTTTGGTACTTGTGGGAATAATTTCACGCAACTTCTTGAAATTGCTTAAGTCCGTAAGATTCACACTTCTAAATAACAACAACAAAATTAAATTATATTGGTCAAGTAGTTTTTTAAGAATTTCTAATTGTTTATTCCAAAACACGTGTTGTACGGCCATCACTACTAATCCATTGCGCAATATACGGGGGTTCGTTCAAGAGCACTTAATAGCAAAATACACGTGTTTACCTTGTCGGTATGAATCACAAACCATTCCGAAAGATAAATGTTATTTCTATGTAAAAAACGACGTTTACGTTTTTTTCTTCTAAACATTTCGTATATGTGAGTAGTTTAACAAATGCGCTACAATATTTGAAAAACATACATTAATATACACATTTTAAAACAAAGCGGATGTGTCTCGTCTTTTGTTTCCAATAAAACCAGACTTAAAAACTATTTGGCAAACCAGGGGTATTTTTGTCTAATATGACTAGACTATAGTGCTAAAATTTCTTCATATTATTTAAAGGTCATATTGAGAACAGTGGAAAAAGTATCATTTTATATAACCGATGGGCAATGTGAACATACTTTTTATCCATCTCAAATAAAAACAGAAAAAACAAAAAGGATTTAGGGAAAGTTTGTTTCTGTTGTCTATACAGGGTGACTTCGAAGTTGAGTCATTTATTTTAATAGTGAGTAGATCTGATCAAAAGAAATGTTTTTTTCCTTTACCATTTTTCTGGTAAAATTAAAGTAACAATGTTATAGCCCTTTGGAAGTTTGAGTACCGCCCTGTCTCAATAATAATATTATGTGCTCGTGTTTGGCAACAACGGATATAATCCGCCTTATCGGCTCATCGCATCGGAAACAAAAAAGCGAAAGAATTTGGAACGATGTTTTTACAATTATTTTATTCAGTTGTATACAGTCAGTGTCAGTCGGTAACGCGTGAGTGAATAGTGGTGTCCGTTGCGTGGCTCAAACGAAATCAAAAATGACACATGTTTACGAAAATGCTGAACTTGTGGACATGATTCTTATTTACGCGGCATCACGGATTTATGCGGATCGGCTTCCCAATCGAGTGCAACCAACCCCTCGTGCCTTTGTTAATGTAGTACAAAGGGCTCGTTAATCAGGTGACTTAAGACCTCAAGGGGAGGGCATGCCGGTGCTCCAAGACCGCACGATCAAATACAGGTCCGCACTGAAATACTTGTCGGGAGGATACTTTATAAAACAAGGTAACATTTTTTTTTATTTTTTTTTTTATTGTTACACACATATTTTGGTTTATCTTCCTTCTACAATCATTATCTGAAAATTAATGACTCAACTTTAAAGTCCCCTGTATACGGATACTGAATGCGAGACTGCCCCCATTTGGTATCGACAACGTTTTTCTTAACGTTTCCGAGATCCAAGTGGTTTGACTAAAATCTGAAACCCGATATAGTGCGAATTTTAGAAAAGCAATGGTTTGATTACGCTTTTATGCTGGCTTTGATGGATGCCCAATATTCACCAGGAAGGAATTCGTCTCGGAAGGTTAAAACCAAGATCACTGGAGACATTCGAAGCGGTGCTAATTATATATTATATTTTAGATTCCCAAAAATCAGATGGTTGTAGTATCTTTAGCTTCTTTACCTTTCATTTCAAAGCTTTTCATAGAACCAAAGTAGACATACACCTTAAGAATACGTATATGCAAATGATTTTGGTGATGCTATTCCACTTGAATGACTTCCATTTCAGCTCATTCAGATATCTTCCTCTGATTCGCTGAGTAGGCTTTCGTCATTCAAGTACTCGTTGTGTCATCTGGTGATGAAGATAGTTTCAGGTACCACAACTTCCTTGCTTCCGTTATCTGGTAGGTTGCTGACGGGGTTCACCTTCGTCGACATCCTTGTAGACTTCATTAGGCCATCGCAGGTACAACAGTCGCAGCGCCAGAACAGGAGGAGTCCTAGAAAGAAAGGGATATAACATATGCAATTTAGAACACTGCAAGCTTAGTGAACATCCCGACAATTTATCGAATTTTGAAAATATGTAGATTTACGCGATACTCCCCATGGAGTTATATCATCAATTAGATAACGTTCGACTTATTTCCACTTAGTCTAATCATATTAGATGAAAATAATTGTAAAGTCTGGTTTTATTGCTGCAAGTTGTTCAAGGGGGTATTCAAAACATGGACGCATGAAATGGATACACCACTTTTTGCGGGAAAACGTTTTATTCGACAACAAAGAATGAGAAAACGTTTATTTTTTTTTGGATTCAAACGAAAGTGTTGGCAGGAACAAAAAAACTCTTGATATAAGATTTTTAGGTGTTTAAAAGAGACCACACGTAAAAAGATCAGACTAATAGCAAAAAAGTGATGGCCAAAAACCGAGGCAAACTGCAGGTTTTGTTACTTGTTGGTAATGCAACGTTGGTTTTTCGCAGATGCTCGAAATTCATCAAATTCGTAGAATTCGTATTTCCAAATAACAGCAATAAAATTGGAATAGATTGGTCAAGTAGTTTTTGAGAATTTCTAATTGTTTATCCCAAAATATCTTTGCACGCACTATAAAGAAACCACACCTCACTTTGTTACTTGAAAAGAACTTCAAACATATTTTTTTGGAATTATGTTAGATACTTTTTTCATTTTATTTTGTGTAGTTTTATTTTTCATGACTTCTTTTTTTTTTTTAAAATACATTTATTCTAATACCTGCTTTAGTTATGTTAAAACGATAATAAATCTCATAGAGACATATAGATATTTTTTTTGTTTCAGTATGTGGTAACGGGCCACTTTCAAACTTTAAAACTGATTTATCTCAAAAGTTGCCAAAAGTGACTTAGATCGTTTTTCCCGTGTGCTCCTCATTTATCTTTCGCAATGGTTTGTGATTCCTATCGGCAAGGTAAACTTGTGTATTTTGCTACTAAATTCCCTTTGAACTAACCCTGTACTAGTAGTGATGGCCGAAAAACAGGTGTTTTTGGATAAACAATTAGAAATTGTCAAAAAACTACTTGCCCAATGTACTCCAATTTTGTTGTTGTTATTTAGACGTAAGAGTCCTAAGGATTTGAAGAAAATTGTGAAATTATCGGCGCATTACTAAGAAGTGCCAAAACTTGCATTTAGCCTCGTTTTTCGGCCATAACATTTTTGCTATTATCTCGTTTTGTAGGTCTTATAAATACCTAAAAATCTCATATGAGAAGCTTTTACGTTCCTATCAACACTTTCGATTGAATCCCAAAAAAAAAAAAAACGTTTTCTCATTTTTTGTTGTCAAATAAAAGGTTTTCCCACAAAAATTGGTGTACCCATTTTATGCGTCCATGTTTTAAATACCTTCTTGAACATTTTGCACCAATAAAACCAGACAATTATTTCGGGGAAATTTGCTAATATGATTAGACTAACACCCAAATGGCAAAACCGGAATCTATTCAGCAGTTACCATAGTTACGCAGTGTTAGAGATACTACGTATGAAGAAGGTGATGGATCCTGGAATTGTACAGCATCCAGAGAAGATCCAGAAGTCTCGCTATCTTACATTTTCGACAATATTCCTAACCGTAATCTTCGCCTGAGTCGTGTAAAGCTGACATCCAAATCATTAAACATTTTATCTAAGATCGGACAGAACAGAGCAGTTTATGAATAAGATTTTCAGGCGTTATGTCCCACTTTTCAGCTTACGGACTCATGCTGTCAATACGATAGGTTCGCGAGCTATCCTCAGTTGTTCCTTGCTAGGCGAAATAGCACTGTCATTTTGTTTTTAGGTCCACTTAAAAGCTACAGGACACTATGACAATTCGCAGGTCATAGATAAAAAGTCTATTTATTTGCGAAATCCGAACGAATGGTTTTTATCTTACCTGCCAATGTCCAAAAGACAAGACCTTGCCATATTTCCACCACTACTGTGGATATTAGCACCATGTTGAAAGCTATACAGGCTATTTGACAAATGGGGAATAAAAATGACGGTACGAAAGACTGTTTGGATTTATCAGATACGTTCTGAGGCATACCCATTATAATTATCACGGATAAGCTCAAGCCTGGAACAAAATACAATAAGTTAGTTGATTAATGAATATAAACAAGTATGGTCATTGAGACATTTATAATAATAATAATATTACACTAAACATCCCATTCCCATTCTTATAGTACCTGAAAAAATTACTTTGTATCAATCAGAGACGGAAAAAACGAATCACGATGAGTAATTAAATCAGTTTATTGTAATCCAGCGACTTATAATATTTGATAAATAAGAGCAAGTATCTGTAACAAATAATAACGGAAATATAGCACATCGTGATTGCCACAGAAGATCTTCAATTTTGTTTTAAATGTTATGTTAATGTTCGTGATATTCTTCAAAAGTAAGTTAACAGTATTACGTATATAATGTTAATTGCATTCTAAACTAAAGATCGTGAATTTGAAACCGTATGGTGTAATAGCACTATAAAAACAGTCTGATATCTTGTGTTACTATTGTGAGAGCTGCATCTAAATAGTTACACATCTTTCAAAGAGGTATGGAGGTGACATAGATAGTTAACCGCCTGGGGTCCGAATACGTTTGCGATATGTGCTCAATTTTCCTCAAATGCTTAATACACCTACTACAGATGTTTTGCAATATGTGTAGACGCCTTTTATTCTTTTTATCTCATCTCAACTGCCGATTTTTTTCCAACGAAGCAGCTACTATTTTTATTTCGCTGGTGAGTCTAAAACTTGAATACGCTTCTTTGATGTGGAACCCATTATATGCATGTTATATATAGTCAACGCCAAACAAAGTGGCGTGCACGTCATCACGATAAAAATTCCCCGACCTAATGCCTAGGTTTCTATCACAAACAATTGCTCTATTGCAGTTTCATATTAATGTGATATATAAATTGTAAAATGGTCATTACTCTCTTATTATGGTTAATAGTCATATAAACATTGTTATTAAAATATCACATAAGTTGCTTTCTGATAAATTTAGACGCATTATGCGAAATAAAATGTTTTGCAAACGCTCCAATCACTTATCGACATGTAAACGCCCTAAACCGATTTCGCAGCGTTGACACATTGTCACCTTGAAACTTATTTAAACTGGGAACTGACATTTGTATTAATTTTGACACTGAATCAATTTGTGGCATTTCAAATCTTTATAAATCCTTTGGCCTCGCATACTGTAAATCAACAACTGTTTGTTTCAAAACAAAATTATTCATTTTACGAGTAGATCAAGGCAATTTTGGTATATAAAGATGCCCAAACAGTTAAATAGTCGGTGTAAGGAACTCGTGGCCTCGTTAATGCACTACTTTGAGCAAGAAAGGGACAACAACGGGCCTTTGTTGCCTTTAAATGCTGTTCAAGAGGTAGGTTACTAATAATTATATGTAATGTATATTAATAATAGTGAAATTTTATTTCATTTTTTGTAGCGTGTTGCTGCTGCTTTAAAAATTAGTTTAAGGACAGTTAGTCGTATTTCCGAGGGTGTGAAAAGTGATGCAAATTTAGAATCGCCCAAGAAAAAGCGGAGTTATATTAAACGTGTAACCAACACAGCGACATTGGATACAAGTGCCATTCGAGAAGTGATCTATAATATGTATCACAAAAGTAAGATCTTATTATAATAACTTATCAGAAATTTGCATTAATTTGTTAACTAAATTATAGTGTCATATTACACATGGTTTCAGAAGAACAAGTTACGATACAAACTTTATGGTCTCGATTAAGAGATAGGGCATTATTTGATGGTAGTGCCACGTCTTTAAGGCGGTTGCTTAGAGATCTTGGATTTAAGTGGCTTAAGGACAATCCGCGACGAGGGCTCATGGAACTACCAAGTATAGCTTTGAAAAGGGTGGAATTTCTAAGGCAATACAATCAAGCCAAGGTTGAGGCCTTATACCAGTTTGTCTTCCTCGAAGAAACTTGGATATTTCAAAATGGGACCATAGGTCGCTCTTGGCAAAATGGAAACCAAAAAAGCGTGAAAGCTATTAAAACAGATGGTAAAAGGTATGTACTTTTACACAATTTGCACTATAAAATTTAAAATTAATATATTTTAGATACATTATATTACATGCTGGAAATGAAAATGGGTTTATTGAGGGTAGTGAAGCGATATTTTCTTCGAAAACAAAATTGAGCGATTACCATGGAGAGATGAACCAGGACAATTTTTTGAAATGGTTTCAACATCAGTTATTAGAAAAATTGGAGAGTCCATCTATGATTATACTGGATAACGCCCCTTATCACAGCATGATATTGAACAAAGTGCCCAACAATGCATGGACAAAAAAAAATATCCAAGACTGGTTGACAAATCAAAACATACCATTTTTAAACACAATGTTTAAAACAGAGCTATTGAGTATTGTTGCTCGGTACATAATGCTTCTTAATTATATATATTTTGGTCGACAGTTTATATTTCTTTTGTTTATTCCTATTCTTAAAATAACTGCTTTTTTAGAAACAAACCACCTAAAATATACGTGATTGATGAACTGGCGGAACAACATGGGCACAAAGTTCTTCGTCTGCCTCCTTACCATTGTATATTTAACCCTATTGAGTTAATTTGGGGCATAGCAAAAGGTTACTATAACAGACATATTGGTAGAGATGGTAACAGTGAAAAAGACTGTTTGGATATGTGGAACGAGGCTCTACAAACGGTTACCCCAGACATGTGGAAAAATAGTGTTCGACATACTGAGCAAGAAATTTTTAAATGGTATGAAAGAGAACGAATTTTTGATCGACCAGACATCGAACCTTTAATAATCAACTTTGAGAGTGATGAAGATTCAGATTCAGACAGCGCTGAAGAAAGAAACTCCGACTAACTTTATTGTACAGAAAAAGCTTACACCAGTAGCTTACCTAATTTTAGAATGCATTTTTCTGTATGAATTCTGTAAAATAAATACCATGCATAAAATGACCCCATTTGGATTTTTATTCAGTACCTTTAAGCTATCAATTAAATATGGTAGTTTCATAGTGTCATCTGATCAATAATTGTCATACTTAATGATTATGCAAGTACAGATCTATAATTTTATTATACTATTATTTTTGTTCTCATTTGAGGTTAATATTGCTTATAAACCTAGATATGTAAATAATAAATTTTATTATTTTACTAAAAGTTTGGCAACAATGTAAATTTTTCAACACACCCACCTTGATGACGTGCACGCCACTTTGTTTGGCGTTGACTATACGAGTAAATATGATATCTTAGAAAATGTGTAAATAAAATTCTCAAAATTGTGCCTATAAAATTGATAGCGTATACAAAGAGAGATCAATTTATTCTACTACGAAAATTCGACGTGAGGTTTCTACAATTAAGACGTTCCATTGCGAGCATTCCTCCATAAATTTTTGGATGACTGGGTGGATGTACCGGAACATCTCTAGATGTTGGATTTTCACACCTGCCGCACCAACGTATAATTTTATTTACCGCTCTATTCTATATAGTCCAAAATAACGAAAGATGACGATTACGTCATCATTTTACTCTGTAGTTAAGATAAACGACAGCGATTTTGTGAATATTTTCAATGAAGTTTCAGATATGTTAGACAGAGACAAACAGAATTTTATTGTCTAAACAAACTGTATTGCTTATTTGTATCGATCATATTTGAAAGATGAATAGTTAGGTTATGTTGAAGCAGGTTAGGTTGTTTTCGAATAATGATCTTTGTGAGGTAAGGTATTCTACTCATAGTTGTTTTTTTCTTCAAAACAAAAACTCCCCACTAAAGTTAATATTCAGGTATCACTCAAAACGATGAAACAAAATGAAAATAAAAATAATCAGTGAAATCTCCTAACTTCGCAAAATCATAATATAAATTTGTTGTCATTATGTTCCTGTCATCGTGATTTTTTCATCGACGTACGTCCATTGATTACTTCACTACAATTTGTGGTATGACGTAATAGTAATCTTTTGTGATTTTCATTATGTGCAATCCTCATTCCTTAGCAGATAATTCTGAGATTAATTTCAATTGTATCAGTGAAATTTTGTTAAACTTCAGGGACTATTACAATAGCTATTGTTTATACTCGTATGTGGTTCTTGTAGTCACACTATTTGTTAAGTTACCATTAATATTGCCCTGTAATTGGATTAGTCTGTTGGGCAAGTGTGTATAAATAAACGAATAAGCAGATGGGTAAATAATTAGGTAAGTAAATAAATATATAAATATTAATTTCTCACTTGTTTTCAAACACGGATGATAAAGTTTAGTGGTCAGATTGCGATGAAGTTGGCTGGATAAAATTTTAAATGCCACTATTACCGACACAGGTATTTCTTGATATCATTATTAACCTAGGAAGAAAAGAGCTGCTTCTATATAAAGGAAAAAGTACTCACTCTCCAGTTGACGAGAAGGGCTAAGTACGTCTCTGCCCGAAATCATACCGTTCCAACAGAAAATGAAATCAGCTGATGCACTACCGAGCAGACGCACCATACCAGCCCAAACATTCACCGAAAATGTTTGTTGAAAATGTGCCCGACGGACAGCGTGGATTTTCTACTGACCAAACATGAGTGTTGCGAAAGTTATTCACCCCATTACGCGTGAATGTAGATTCGTCTGTCACCAATATGCACTTCAAAAAGTCCGGATTATTGTCATGTTGATGCAACAACCACTCACAAAACCGCACTCTTGCTGGAAAATCGTCAGGTTGAAGGGCTTGTACACGTTGGACGTGAAACGGATATAGCCCGTCTTCACGCAGCGTTTGCCACACTTTAGTTTTTGATACTTGCACTTCTCTAGCCACGTCTCTAGTGCTTGTTGAGGGATTATCGTCTACGCGATTACCTCTACAGGCGTGACCGTAACCATCGGTTGAAAGTTGCGTACTGACCTGACCCACTGACCCCGACCCCCGACCCAGTTCTGTCGTTGAGCCAGTGACATTGTACCACTCCGTGATGGTGCGGCTACAGGACGGTATTCAGATATTTTTGATGTTGCAGAGCCCTTTATCTCGGTTCCCTTAAGACATTGGTGAATATGGTACCAAGAAAAATTGCTTATGTTTTCAAGATCTACACGTCGTCTAAAGGAAAACCCCAACTTTGCAGGGTGTATTTACTACTAATCCGATGGAAACAAAATTTCGAACAACCCTTGTTGAAGAAGTGCGTTATTATTGCCCTGAAATTGCAAAGTTAAATGACCTGATACTTACCGATAAAGCTCGGCCACAATATGTCGATTATCCTTAGCATATACAAGCAAAGCGCCACTGAGGCGGTTATAGCCAATAAAATACAAAATATGACAACGATGGAAGTCAGTTTCGTAGCAGGTTTTGTAGGTGTGAACTTTTCCACTGTTGCTATTAACTGCAACAAAGAAGCGATCAGTTACGTATCTAGTATACAGTGCTTTTTGTAAGGTCGATCTTAGTACTTTTAGATCGAGACAAATTAGCAAGCTGGAATTCATGGTGATGAAATTGAGGATTCGTATATTAGTGGCAGCTGAAAATTTTATAATGGTCATTAAATTCATATTTCAGTGTTATTTCTAAAAGTGCAATTGTGGCGTTAGGCGACTCTAACACATGGTACTTCTTATATATTATATAAATTTATCCTAAATGATGGTGATAGTAAAACCAGAACGATAAATAATTTTTTGTCTCTTCTAGATCTGAAACAGTATAATAATGTAATGAACACATCCAACAGGCTCTTAGATTTAGTATTGAGTAATCTTGTATGCACCACTAAGTGTGACCATATTCCTCTAGTACAACCTGATGACCGTCATCCTGCTCTTATCATTAAGCTTCCTCATATTAATCATCAGGAACCATTATTTGGCACCCATAAGCATTCTAAAGTATATAATTTAGAAAAATCCGACTTTGTTGCATTATACTATGAGTTAACTATTATTGATTGGTCATTTTTGAAAGCATTTTAATGAAGCTATTGACGAGTTCTACAAAAAGTTTTATGAAATCTTCAAGCGGAAGTTTCCAAGATAGTATAATTCGTCAATAATTAAGAACATAAAAGATCAGGCAAGAAACCATCTGAAATGGAAACAAACTAAACAAAATTTTTACAGAAACGACAAAGATCGCTTATCAAATCACAATCAAAGGTTGCGTACGAAAGCTATTTGCAAGAAGTTCAAAAGTCGGTGAGAAATAACTCCGCTCTTTTTGGTCATTTATATATCAAAAGAACAATACGGATTCCATGTCATATGACTCAACTGAATAATGATTTCGGTGATCCTCAGTCAATTGTAAATGCTTTCGCTGAATTCTTTAAGACAGTTTACTTGCCATCTGATACCTACTGCGGTCTAACATCCAATGTATTGTCAACTTAACTCACGAGAGTATAACTGAACATGAAATATAGTCAACGCCAAACAAAGTGGCGTGCACGTCATCACGATAAAAATTCCCCGACCTAATGCCTAGGTTTCTATCACAAACAATTGCTCTATTGCAGTTTCATATTAATGTGATATATAAATTGTAAAATGGTCATTACTCTCTTATTATGGTTAATAGTCATATAAACATTGTTATTAAAATATCACATAAGTTGCTTTCTGATAAATTTAGACGCATTATGCCAAATAAAATGTTTTGCAAACGCTCCAATCACTTATCGACATGTAAACGCACTAAACCGATTTCGCAGCGTTGACACATTGTCGCCTTGAAACTTATTGAAACTGGGAACTGACGTTTGTATTAATTTTGACACTGAATCAATTTGTGGCATTTCAAATCTTTATAAATCCTTTGGCCCCGCATACTGTAAATCAACAACTGTTTGTTTCAAAACAAAATTATTCATTTTACGAGTAGATAAAGGCAATTTTGGTATATAAAGATGCCCAAACAGTTAAATAGTCGGTGTAAGGAACTCGTGGCCTCGTTAATGCACTACTTTGAGCAAGAAAGGGACAACAACGGGCCTTTGTTGCCTTTAAATGCTGTTCAATAGGTAGGTTACTAATAATTATATGTAATGTATATTAATAATAGTGAAATTTTATTTCATTTTTTGTAGCGTGTTGCTGCTGTTTTAAAAATTAGTTTAAGGACAGTTAGTCGTATTTCCGAGGGTGTGAAAAGTGATGCAAATTTAGAATCGCCCAAGAAAAAGCGGAGTTATATTAAACGTGTAACCAACACAGCGACATTGGATACAAGTGCCATTCGAGAAGTGATCTATAATATGTATCACAAAAGTAAGATCTTATTATAATAACTTATCAGAAATTTGCATTAATTTGTTAACTAAATTATAATGTCATATTACACATGGTTTCAGAAGAACAAGTTACGATACAAACTTTATGGTCTCGATTAAGAGATAGGGCATTATTTGATGGTAGTGCCACGTCTTTAAGGTGGTTGCTTAGAGATCTTGGATTTAAGTGGCTTAAGGACAATCCGCGACGAGGGCTCATGGAACTACCAAGTATAGCTTTGAAAAGGGTGGAATTTCTAAGGCAATACAATCAAGCCAAGGTTGAGGCCTTATACCAGTTTGTCTTCCTCGATGAAACTTGGATATTTCAAAATGGGACCATAGGTCGCTCTTGGAAAAACGGAAACCAAAAAAGCGTGAAAGCTATTAAAACAGATGGTAAAAGGTATGTACTTTTACACAATTTGCACTATAAAATTTAAAATTAATATATTTTAGATACATTATATTACATGCTGGAAATGAAAATGGGTTTATTGAGGGTAGTGAAGCGATATTTTCTTCGAAAACAAAATTGAGCGATTACCATGGAGAGATGAACCAGGACAATTTTTTGAAATGGTTTCAACATCAGTTATTAGAAAAATTGGAGAGTCCATCTATGATTATACTGGATAACGCCCCTTATCACAGCATGATATTGGACAAAGTGCCCAACAATGCATGGACAAAAAAAAATATCCAAGACTGGTTGACAAATCAAAACATACCATTTTTAAACACAATGTTTAAAACAGAGCTATTGAGTATTGTTGCTCGGTACATAATGCTTCTTAATTATATATATTTTGGTCGACAGTTTATATTTCTTTTGTTTATTCCTATTCTTAAAATAACTGCTTTTTTAGAAACAAACCACCTAAAATATACGTGATTGATGAATTGGCGGAACAACATGGGCACAAAGTTCTTCGTCTGCCTCCTTACCATTGTATATTTAACCCTATTGAGTTAATTTGGCGCATAGCAAAAGGTTACTATAACAGACATATTGGTAGAGATGGTAACAGTGAAAAAGACTGTTTGGATATGTGGAACGAGGCTCTACAAACGGTTACCCCAGACATGTGGAAAAATAGTGTTCGACATACTGAGCAAGAAATTTTCAAATGGTATGAAAGAGAACGAATTTTTGATCGACCAGACATCGAACCTTTAATAATCAACTTTGAGAGTGATGAAGATTCAGATTCAGACAGCGCTGAAGAAAGAAACTCCGACTAACTTTATTGTACAGAAAAAGCTTACACCAGTAGCTTACCTAATTTTAGAATGCATTTTTCTGTATGAATTCTGTAAAATAAATACCATGCAAAAAATTTGGAGGACCCCATTTGGATTTTTATTCAGTACCTTTAAGCTATCAATTAAATATGGTAGTTTCATAGTGTCATCTGATCAATAATTGTCATACTTAATGATTATGCAAGTACAGATCTATAATTTTATTATACTATTATTTTTGTTCTCATTTGAGGTTAATATTGCTTATAAACCTAGATATGTAAATAATAAATTTTATTATTTTACAAAAAGTTTGGCAACAATGTAAATTTTTCAACACACCCACCTTGATGACGTGCACGCCACTTTGTTTGGCGTTGACTATATGTGATGCAGCAAAAAAACTGAAGTTCAAGATGACGTCAGGGCCAGATAAGCTCCCCTCTTTTCTGGTCATGAGCACCCCATGATCAACCTTATTGATAAAGCTTTCGATAAGGTTGATCATGGGGTGCTCATTGCTAAGCTGGGTTCATTTGGTTTTACTGACAAATCAATATCGTTATTAATGTCTTACTCGAGGAATCGACAGCTGTACGTTTCTTACAATGGTTTGGAATCGTTTCGATACAATTCGTCATCTGGGGTGCCACAAGGTTCTAACCTGGGCCCCTTATTATTTCTGATCTTTGTGAATGATGTATGTGATTATATTGATTATGGTAAACTATTATTTGCTGATGATTTGAAACTGTATGTTAATATTAATAGTGGAAGAGATTGTGAGTATTTACAAATGCAACTTTGCCGTTTGGATGATTGGTGTATGCTGAATAGGTTACATTTGCATATTGCTAAAGCAAGGTAGTTATACTAAGTGACATACAGGGTGACTTTGAAGTTGAGTCATTAATTTTCAGATAATGATTGTAGAAGGAAGATAAACCAAAATATGTGTGTAAAAATAAAAAAAAAATAAAAAAAATGTTACCTTGTTTAATAAAGTATCCTCCCGACAAATATTTCAGTGCGGACCTGTATTTGATCGTAAGGTCTTGGAGCACCGGCATGCCGTCCCCTGTGAGGTCTTAAGTCACCTGATTCACGAGCCCGTTCTACTACATTAACAAAGGCACGAGGGGTTGGTTGCACTCGATTGGGAAACCGATCCGCATAAACATGTGCCATTTTTTATTTCGTTTGAGCCACGCAACAGACACCACTATTCACTCACGCGTTACCGACTGACACTGACTGTATACAACTGAATAAAATAATTGTAAAAACATCGTTCCAAATTCTTTCGCTTTTTTGTTTCCGATGCGATGAACCGATAAGGCGGATTATATCCGTTGTTGCCAAACACGAGCACATAATATTATTATTGAGACAGGGCGGTACTCAACTTCTAAAGGGCTATAACTTTGTTACTTTAATTTTACCAGAAAAATGGTAAAGGAAAAAAACATTTATTTTGATCAGATCTACTCACTGTTAAAATAAATAACTCAACTTCGAAGTCTAAATAGGATGGACTATGTCCAAAAAAAGTTTCTTAAGTATCTAGCTTTTAAGTGCGATAGAGACTACCCTCAACGTGGGTCGGACATTTCTGTTAGACAGATTTAAAATGACGAATCACGTCTTTGAATGTGAGAATGAAGCACAGTTCTGTTATTTTTTTATTTAAACTCTTGCATGGAACTATAGTTTCTTCGGAATTGTTATCACAACTACAGATTTTAACGCCAAGATCCGTTTCAAGATGTAATGTTATTATCTTTTGCAGTCGTGCTAACACAAATTTTGAAATCACCTGAACGAGTTATGTGTTTGAATTATAATAGTCTTTGTAAGTTTTGTGACAAATTCTTATGTTCTATTCCGGAGCTGAAATGTGTTTTGCGGAAGCGCCTTAGATAATAATAATAATAATAATAATGATAATAAAGTTTATTGCAAAAGAAAAAGTATAGCAGTAGTAGATGAAAGACAATATTATACAATAAACGAATGGACCCAAAAAAGTTTCGCAGAAACTTGTACTTGGGCATGAGCTCATGTATAAATAACTTAAGACTAAAAAAAGAAAACCAAACAAAAAGAAAATATATGTATATAAAATTTATTAGACAAGTCCTGGTAAAATTTTTAAAAAGACACAATCGGGACGGAGACGCAAAATCGGGAGGTAGACGCAATCGGGATAGAGACAATATTGAAACAAAAGACAATATTAGGTGAATAGACAAGAACAAAAATTGGTGAAAATAAGTCATAAAATTCAATAATTCAGGAGGTAAGAATTCAGATCAGTTTGATTTATACATTTTTTCTTTCATTTCGAAATTTCAATAATCTTGAGAGAGATTTCCGCTTTTTTTAGTAGATATTTTTGATATCAATCGCTTGATGAATCTTGAGCCCATGCTGGTCCAAAATCCACAGTCTTAGATGCTTTTTCATAATCTTTGTATTTTTAATATCTTTTATCTGAGGGGGGATTAAGTTATATATTTTTGGTCCTAGGAAAGTGAAACTCCTCTGACCTATGGTCTTTTTAGGCTTTGATATGCGTACTGAATGATCTTTGGATCTGGTGTGATGGTCATGCGGGAGGAAATTTAATAAATGCTTATGTTTTGTAATATATGTGAACACACTGTCAAAATAGAGTTGCCTACAAGATAGTTTTATAAGTTAGACATTTGTAATATTCCTAATTTAAGATTTTGGCCTATAAATGGAATATTACCTGTTGGGCCATAAAAGCTATAAATAAATGAATAAATAACTTGCAAAGAGCAGGGCAAGTCCAATAAAGGTTGAGGTTTCCACAGGTAAATATATTATTGTGTTGATACAACGCTGTCACTTTGGTAGGCACTGGTATTCAAAATTATGCACTAAAACTAAGCAATTTTGGCTATAAACAACTTCTAATATATCCGAATCCATTGAATTCAGCACACATACCTTTAGGCCTTCTTGATACTCCTGAACGACTACATCGATGTCTGTCGAATCTGATTCGCTGCATATCTCCAAATCATCTTCATTTTCGTTATCAGATCCACTATCTTCCGCCATGTCGATGTTCAGGGACTTATTACTATAATCATCCAACAAAAGGCATTCTTTCTCTTCCGTTTTCGATGCCACCAGATTCCCTGTCACGTTCTTAGGAGAGCTCAGTCTATGAACGTACCCTGGACTTGATATAAAAAATGCTTTTACTCTGTCCTTAATTGATAATCGAGGTTGGTGGTAAGTTACGTTAGGCTTCGAATCCTTGGCTAGTTTGCTGTACTGAACGTTCGTATTGTACACTGCGAAAAAAATAAAAGTCGAGTCACTTACTAGGAATGATGTAGCTTCGTGAAGCAATTGGATTGTCATGACCGTCTTGAACGTTACAAATGATACTGCAAGCAAAATTACGCCAAATAGCTCATTTTTTAAATATTAGGGTATTTGTCAGCAAATTTCGAAATTCATGTCCTGAGCCATTGATGCTAAGTTGCATGGATTTATCTTCAATTAAAAATTTTTATTATATCAATAATAATATTTTAGAAGAAAAAAATTAGATAATATATTGACACAAAAAAATACGATTAATTTATTAGTCTAAAAGTGATTCCCTCATCTCCTTTCTGGGTGTGAAATTAACAATAAAAAAATATGTACAATTAAATCTGTTCATATTCTTATAAATTGAATATTACTAAAATATTTGGTAATAAGTATGGATTGTATAGTCAAGCTTTCATTGCTAAGAAATAAGTATGCATATGAAAAAAATTATTTAAACTCCCTTGAAATGAAACCATTCCCTCACCCATTATAAATATTCGATTTGTGGTCACACTATTCGATATTTTTGAACCCAGTTTATGTTTTTAAAACTTGGCAATACTGCTAATAGTGTCAACATGGCGGAATTTCTTAACAGTGAAAAGAGTTGCTGCAAAAAAGTATTGGACTTCAATAATTAGAACATTACATTTCTCTGTCTCATCACCTCACTGTTTATATTAAAAGGTAAGTCATTATACTGTTCGAATGTTTTAACGATTTTTTCCTTGTTTTGAGGAGTAAAATGCATTCACAAAATGCTAAATCAATTTGAGGTGATGTACTGTTGGTTACGGTGTTGCTTATGCAAATCCGTCATTCCCTCACGGTGAGGCAATGAAAATTATATGAGGGAATGATTTTTGCATACAGGGTTATCCAAATTAAGTGTCCACCATTAGTAACTTTGTTATTAGTGAAAATACAAAGTTGTTTGAATTAGCAAACTAGTAGCATTTTTAACGCTGGTAAAAATGAGAAATAAAAAAAAACAATTGAGGGTCGTTATTTTGATTTTTTTCAGTAAAATAACATTTTTTTAAATGGAAACCCCTGTATATTATATTTTTTTCTGTTAAAGCATCAAATTTTAAACAAAAAAGCTTACAATAACTTTTCTCCTAGGTTACAAATTGTTGAAGTTATGGCCTCCAATCTGAAACAATTAAATTGTATCGACAAACTTTATTTTCAACATCAACTTATAATCTTGCAAAATACAATAACAATTTTTTTTAAAGAAGATGCTCGAAAACACCACCTTGTTCTTCAATACATTTTTGGGCACGTTTTTCAACTGCTCGAACTGTCTTAAGTATGGTCCTACCATCTATCTGGGTTATCTTTTCCCTAACTGCAGTCTTTAACGCGTCAAGGTTATCGTACCTTCGCTTGTAAATTTGGTTCTTTAAGTAACCCCACAAGAAGTAATCAAGTGGGTTTAGATCTGGTGATCTGGGAGGCCACTGTATTGGGCCATTTGTTCCTATCCACTGATCATTAAAAGTAGTACTTAGAAAATGATAAGTACCTCTGGAGTTGTGGGCAGGTGCGCCATCTTGCTGAAAATGCAGATGATGTCTACTTATAAGATCCAATTCGTCTAAGAAATTAGTCAGAATTTCTGACATAAATTCCACATATCTTTCACCAGTTAGGGTTCCCTCATAAAAGAACGGGCCAACAATTTTTGAACCAATTATACCGCACCAAACGTTGAAACTGAAACGGACTTGTGGGCCTCTTGGATGTACTAACAAAAGATTTTCTCTTGACCAATAATGGTGGTTTTTTCTATTAAACATTCCAGAATTTGAAAAATTTGATTCATCTGTCCATAAAAGGTAACGAAAGTTATTTACATTTTGGCGACAGAAGCTAAGATACCAATGGCAAAAAACAAGTCTTCTCTCTGGATCCCCTGCAAAAAGCGTTTGAACTGGTCGGTACTTATACGGAATAAATTTGTATTTTTTTAAAATCCTTTGAACAGTACTATAACTGAAATTAGAGTCCTTGAGAATATCTGCTATTGAATTCTCACGATAAGCTTCAAAATATCCAATAACTGCAATTTCCGTGGCCTCGCTTATTATGAATTCTTTTTTTGCCCTTGTTTTAGCAAAAACATTTTCGTTGCCCCTAAATTTTCGATAGAGTCTCAGAAAATATCGTTCATAAGGTTGAATGCGAGCGGGATATAATTCACTGTAGTATTCTCTTGCTCTCAAGGAGGATTTTCTGCACACTAAATAGCATTCTAACATATCACACTTTTCTTCATGGGAGAACATTTTTCTTTAAATTAATGACACAATAAAGCATATAAACAAGTATTTACACTAATGTTTGACATTATTTGATTTTATCATTGTTTTCCAAAGCCTTCTAGTTGCGAGTATGTCCAGTTTAACAATTTGTCGCTTATCTTAATGCTGTCAAATCGCGAACGCCATGTTGTTTTCATAGCCGTCTTAATATTATAATACTGCAAATAATTAAAAATATTTATCGTTATTTTGACTTTATTTTTGACTTTAGCGGAAAAGTCATTATGAACTTTTTTGTTTAAAATTTGATGCTTTAACAGAAAAAAATATAATATACAGGGGTTTCCATTTAAAAAAATGTTATTTTACTGAAAAAAATCAAAATAACGACTCTCAATTGTTTTTTTTTATTTCTCATTTTTACCAGCGTTAAAAATGCTACTAGTTTGCTAATTCAAACAACTTTGTATTTTCACTAATAACAAAGTTACTAATGGTGGACACTTAATTTGGATAACCCTGTATATAAAATTGTGGTTTGGGTGTTATTGTAGAACCCCAGGTTGTATAGCATGTGTTTACAATTGTAACACATATGCGTATATCAAGAATGGGGAAAATGATGAAGTTAATCGAAGAACAAAAGAAATTAAAAAAGAAGGATTACGACAGAAAGAGGCGAGAACAAATGAAAATTAATGCTGAGTCTTTAGAAGATTTGCGATTAAACTATTTAAAGAAGAAGTCAAGTTAAGTCAATAAGTTCTATTAGTGAATAGTAAAGTTTATAGGGAAAAGCGAGTTACAGTACACACAAATTTACAGAGAATAGTTGAAGAAACACCCCCACCATGTCCTGCACCATCTTTATAGCAAAGAGCAGAGAATGTGTCTGCTCTCAATAGACGTGGAATGCGCAAGCGGCGAACTATTCTGTACGCGAAGATTAAAAGTTTGGAAAATAAAGTAAGGAACGCAGTCAAGCTTAGCGACAAATATAAGAAGAGGTGTTTGAGATTGAAAACTAAAAATACTAACCCAAACTCTCCAGCAACTAAAGTGTCTCCGCTTTTAAAAAATATACAAGTTCCTGACGTTGAAAGAAAAATACTCATTTTAGGAGAAGCACTGTCAACGGACCTCAAGAATATCTATGAAGATCTTGGAAGTAAACACGGAGAAAAGAAAAAATATTACAAAACCTTGAAGCTGCAATTAGTATAAAAGATACAAATTGCTATATAGATCGAAACATTTTTCAAAAACGATACGTACAAGAAGAACTGTACTCGTAAAGTTAGCTCCAAAATGCTGAAAGTTAAGGGTGATTTCTTAGAGAAGGATGAAAATACGAGGATGTGCCCAGCGAAGAAGGGCTATCTAAGCTCTCTAAAGTATAAAACAAGTCTCAATACATCTATTAATAAATTAACTTATTGTTGTAGAAATCATTCCCCCATCCTATCAGTCATTCCCTCATTTCATAGTTATTTAAAAGTAATTTTTCTACATGTTATTCACAAAAATATAGAGGACCTTCATTTTCAATGAACCTCACTAAAGTAAAACTTGATACTTCAGTAAAAAAAAAAGGATATATCTTCATTATTTTTTTTAAGAAATGCAAAATAAGATTTCTCAATTTGTTCAGAAATACCCATTAAAGGACGGAAGTGACTATATGGAAAATAAAATAAAACTACGGTGCAACAGCCAAGTTCCTGAGGTTTTTCTATAAATGGTAATCTATCTTTGTAAATTTTAAATTTACCTTTTCATTGTCTAGCAAAAGAAACAGTTCAGGATAGTGGAACATATCAATCTAGACAATCAAAACAAAATGTATGCTTACAGAAAAAAATCTTCAGATCAAAATACGACAAATCTTATGATTAATCATGAAAAAATTGAGCTAATCGAATCACTTAATTAGTTGGGCATAAATGTAGATAGTAAATATAAATCTGAGGGGCACTATAAATGTATTATTTCAAAAATATCAAAAAAGATAAATTACTTTTATAGAATTTTGCACAGCCTAAGTGTCTATATAATGTGTACAATACTATCATTCGTCCTCATTTTTCTATATTGTTGGACTATTTTGTTCATTGTAAACGAAGCTACATTATAAACTGAAACTACAAAATAAAGCTATGACAATCATCTTAAAACTAAGTATACGATAATAAATTTTATGCTGTCAGAACTATAATGCTTAAATGTCAAAAATTTCACAACCTATTTGGTTTTCATTTTCATCTTCATGTTAAAAAATCTTTTACAAAATCATTTAGAAGTTTTTATCGAATTGAGTACTATAGTTGTTCTTGCGCTAGATGAAGTATAGAATTTCATTCACAAAATTGTGATAGCAATAAAACAAATAAATCAGTATTTTAGAAAGTATTTTAGGAATTTGATAAACTGCTAGTTTGAAAATGTTCAACGGGAAATCGAAAAATATAATGTGATATACTGTGTAGCATTGATATTGTAGCATTAATGTATAAAGTGGACCAGAAAATACTAATAAAATATTTATTATAAGGAATAAATAGCAGTTAGCTACAATTCAGAATGTTAGTTAAATGACAAAAATCCGATAATTGAGATGTTTTCATATTTAGTTTGATTTTTTTAAAGAACTAACAAAATCGATTTTGGTTTCGTCTAATTGAAGAAATTGCGAACAAAATAAGTCAAAAAATGTACTTGAACTGTTGAAATATGTTTGTTCTTAAAGTATAACACAGATAAATAACGATTCATATTTGACAGCTTTCTCTTGCAATAACCCTTTTATTAATTCATTTATTGACACATTTTTAGAAGAATCTTAAGAGGCTAAACCCTGTATTTTTAAGGGTTTGAACCACAGTACTTTCATCTTTCCATATATTTTAGTACCTAGAAGCTGGATTATATTGGCTATGGACAGCAACTCCACTTTGCTTCACATATAACTATTTGTTGTGTGGTTTAAAGCACATTTTCTTAAAATTGGTAACGTCTAGTATGTGCATGTCATTAATAACCTTATCAATGATTAACCACTCACCTAAGCAGTCATAATTTATTTCGGGCTTATATCGATTATACACCATTTGGCAACAAATGAAAACGCATTTCATCAGAGCTGATGCGTTTAGTAGCTTTATTAGGTGTGACAAAGGGCAAGCAAACGCTAGGATTGCTGCTAGACTACCTGAAAATATTAAAGCATCGAATAAACCTCAAATGTTCTATCAGAATATTAACCCAAAAGGAAATACTTCATAGTCCTTGTTAGCTAGTCTGGTAAGATACTAGCGATAAAATTTCTCTCTAGTCACCGACCGGATAACTACAGGAACGTCTAGTAGCTACGAAATCGGATTGTCCATGGACCGCACTGAGCTTTGCTAAGAAGCGTAATATTTCAGAAAGTATGGGGTTTGTCAAAATTTCTTCCTTTTCTAACCCGTCAGGACGCGCGTACTATTTTTTCGCATATGGATGCGCGTCGGGTATTATTTACCCATAGTCTACTTCCTCAACAAGAAAACGGTTTTCATATCAAAATATAAGTACACTATACAGGGTGACAAGTAAATAGGTGTAAAACATTTTAGGAGGTGATAGTACAGCCCCTTTGCTATCGAAATTAGCATTTAATACCCTATATTCAAAGGTTGAAAAGTTATTGAAGATTTAAGGTTTTTTTAAAAACAATCCATATTTCAGAGTAAAAAAGTCGAGAGAGAAAAAAGTTGGCGATTAAACATTTGTTTTTTGTGGTTTTGGGTTATTATTTCAATAATTAACTATTATAAATTAAAAAAGATTCGAAAACAATACCAAACAACGTATTTATTTTCATTCAAAAATGTTTAACTAAGAAAAACAAATAACGTTTTACAGTAAGTAAGGTGTTTTACACAAAAATCAGTATACAAAAAAACGTACAAGCAATTTAAATAATATCCTTGTTTCATAAGGAATCTAAATTGGTATGATAAGTGCACAAAAACTGTGTGAAACTAAACATAATGTATTGTAATACAACAATAGGGAGTAAATTTACCAATGGCTTGTCTCCTATTTTCACAACTCTCTGATTGATAAGAAAGTGTTTTTGTGAAAATAATGTAACTGTAAGCTATGGGATAGTTATTATTTTAAACTACGGTTAAGTTACACGATTAGATTATTTACACAGTTGTAATTGTACTACAGAATAATAAAAACTGACTAAAAGTTACTACAATTGGTAAGTAAAATACAATAATGAAATGAAAGTAAAATTCATTGCAATTGTTGTTCGAACTGACGCCCGCCGTTTCTTATGCAACCCCTTGTCTTTTTCTCATGTTGGTACGCGTGATACGGTCAGTTAGTTGTCCTCTGATAGTGTCAGCAGCAGCAATAATTCTTTCTTTCAACTGTGCAAGAGTGTCTATAGGCTCAGCGTACACCAGTGACTTCATGTGCCCCCATAAATAATAGTCACACGGTGTTAAATCTGGGCTCCTCGCTGGCCACGGTGTCGGTCCACCTCGGCCAATCCAGCGACAAGGATATTTCTCGTCCAGCCACTGTCTAACACCCAGATGGAAATGCGCGGGACAGCCATCTTGTTGGTAGGTCATCTGCATCCTGATATTCAGAGGCAGGTCTTCGAGATACTCCCAGAGTTCGGATCTCAAAAAGTTATCATAGGATTCGCCATTCAGGTTGTCAGGCAAAAAAACTGGTCCAATTAGATACGTATGAATAATTCCCATCCACACGTTTGCCGAAAATGTTCTTTGATGGGTTCTTGGCTTTGCCATGTGGGGATTTGCCTCTCGTGGGACCAATAATGTAAGTTGTGATAATTGGTTGTCCTGTCTCTGTCAAACTTAGACTCGTCAGTCCACAATATTTCAGTTAAATAGTCGTTTCGAACCAAACTTTCCACTGAGTTAAACCAAGCTGCTTTGCTATAACTCGTGTAGACGTCGTCGGGTCTCTGCCGTAACATTCCAGTATTGCCTCTCGATCTTCGTCGTCAAACAACCGAGGTCTACCAGCATCATGACGTCTCTCATGAACCCGTCCACTTTCCTTGGTACACAGCAGCAAATACTCGATGACTCGGTATTCGCCGATTCGGAAAACGGTTTTCGTATTCTCGCCTGGCTTCAACGGAATGTCCATCACTTAAACCATAACAAAACAGAATATCAGCGTATTCTTCGTTACGGTAACTCGCCATTGTAAAAACTGATCAAAAAAGTAAAAGTACGTCCTACCGCGTTAAAGGTTGATATTCTACTAACTAACCTAAGCGTTAGTTCCCTTTCCTCGATCCGTCAGCTGTGTCAATTCATAACACACGCAGAGCTTGCTTCCGAGGAGCGACGACATATTCCGAATACTTAAACCCTAATAACGGCACAGGGCACAAAAAATAACAAAAAGGGTCGAACCATGAAAGGCTTGGTTTACCTGCTCAGTACAATGAAATGCGCTTAGCGGTCCTTTCTAGCAAAGTAATATTGTTCTGTTAAATGGTTTACTTACTGATATGTTATTATACCATTTTAGAAACCTAATGAAACGAGGAAGTCTTTGCAGTTATTTGTATATTTTATTTATTATGATTTTTTTGAAAAAAAAGACTTCTTAATGTGAAAGTTGAAAATAAGAATTTTCATTTAACATTTAAATGGAAATAAATACGTTTTCAGTAGTGTTTTCATATGTTTTTTAATTTATGAGAATTATTTATTTAAATAGTAACCTGAAACTACCAAAAAAAGAATGTTTAATCACCAACTTTTTTTTATCTCAACTATTTTACTCTGTAATCTGGGTTGTTTTTTTAAAAAAAATTTAATCTTCCATAACTTTTTAACCTTTGAATATAGGGTATGGTATTATATACTAATTTTGATAGCAAAGGAGCTGCACTATCACCTTCTAAAATGTTTTACACTTATTTACCTGTCACCCTGTAGACATTTTACAAAAATAATTTTATTTACATATCAAAGTAATATTAAATATGTATAATATATCAAATTATTTTTTCAAAAATACATATAAAGATTTCATTCATTAGAAGAACCATGGTCAAAGTTTACAACTGTCGGATAATTATGATGACATTTTTGACAAATGGGCTGACGACAAACTAGTTTGTTGCAGAAAAGGCAGGAAGCTTGTGTTTTCCTGTCTTTCTTTTTTGGGCAGTCTTCACACCTTCCATACGATCGCTTTTCTTTTTTTGGCAAAGCTTCACCAATGACTTCCTTAGGGAGTAGAAGTTTTATACCAGCTTTTACGTCTGATGAAAGTGTATCAATGGTATCTCGAATTTTTGATATGCTCTTCTGTCAATTGTTTCGCAAGTGTTTTCAAAAATTCTCGTCAATACACTTGGGATGTATTGGACTGCTTTGAGTTATATATGACCAAAGAATTTATTGCTTCCAGGTTGAAAAATCAAAAAAAAAATTGTGAGAGGCCATCGAAATGATTTCCTAGAAACTGAATATGTACCACAAAGTTGATCCACTGTATCAACCCCACCTTTTTTTTGTGCAGTTGTAAAACATAATTGTCTCAGGTTTTCTTTCTGTGGAATTTGGATCTAGAGCATCATCATGATGCATGGAGGACATCAGAAGAACTATTTTGTGTTTTTTTGGCACATAGGAAATCAATGTTTTATCCTCTGAAAATCCAAACATGCTGCTATTTGGTGGCTTATCTTCAGTCACTAAATGCTTGGGGAGCTTCTTTCTTATTTTTACGAAGGGTGCCTACACCAGTAAGGTTATGGGTTTTTAGCAATTCTTCTACTAGTGGGACACTCATGAACCAGTTGTCCATCGTGAGGTTTCTTCCAGTTCCGTCAATGGGTGATATCAGTCGCAGTACTATTGTTGAAGGAGTGTTATCTTTGCGATAGGTCCGTTCTGGTTCTTGGCCACAGTATACAGTGGACCCCCGATAATCCGGCGCCCCCTGTAATCCGACATGTCTTTGAATATGTATTACAACAACATACATAATTGACAATCTTCGCTAATGTACATCACCCAGGTTTGAACAGGTTACAACTTGTACGCGCCACCGCTATCGTTCTCGACGCGTAAGCATTGTTTTACTTAGTTTGAATCTGACTACTGGTGATAGCGGTACGACCTAGTGTGCGTTCATTGTTTACTATTTATTCATTGTGTATTAAGTATAGTACCTAGTAATGTCATCACAAACTCAGAAGCGAAAGCACAAAACATTGACAATTAAAGAAGAATGTGATATTTTAGACCGCTTAAATCGCAATGAAACTTTCAGTAGTTTAGCAAGTGAATACGGCGTAGGCCGATCTACAATTTGTGACATTAAAAGAAACATCCAGAAGTGGAAGAAGCTTTGTACGTGTGATTTCTTCAGGAAAGAAATAGGCATGCACCAATTTCAGGACCCATGATGGCCATGAAAGCTAAGTTCTTTTATCAGGAAATAACAAAAAAAGATTATTTTGTGGTCAGCCAAGGATGGCTAGAACGTTTTAAAAGTCGTCATGGCATATGTTTAATGACTATTACAGGAGAAACTTTCTAACGATGCCACCTGCCTAGAGCCCTTTAAATTAAGACTTTTGCAAAAGGTGAACGATTTAAATCTTGACCTGTCACAGGTGTACAATACAGACGAATCAGGGCTTTTTGGCGTGTGATGCCTAACAAATCTTTCGTTTCTTGTAACGAAAAATCCGTACCTGGACGAAAAGTAAGTAAAGAGCGTGTAACCATACTACCATGTGCTAACGCTGCGGGCACACACGCGCTTAAGATGATGATCATTGGGAAATCTAATAAACCACGGGCATTCAAAATCTTTGATTTACCTGTACACTATTACGGACAAAAAAGTGCATGGATGACAAATGACCTTTTCAAAAAGTGGTTTGATGAATGCTTTGCACCTGAAGTTAGAAAATGGTTAAAAGATCATAATTTTCCTCAAAAAGCGTTGTTGCTTCTTGATAACGCTCCCGGTCATCCGTCTGAGGAAGAACTAACAACTGAGGATAAATGCATCACTGCGATGTTTCTTCCGCCAAATTGCACTGCACTGATTCAACCAATGGACCAGAATATCATTCAGATTGTCAAGCAAGACTATAAGAAAAACCTACTTCTGAGAGCCGTATCAAAAGACCAACCAATA